TGCTAATTCTTATTCTAGATCTTTAAGCTAAAGAACAGTTATCAGTATTCACAGGAAAGACCACAAGTCTTCCAGACGCAAATCAGCAATATACGCCCACGCTTACGCTTCAATTGTTATGGTTTCCGGTGCAGTTCGTGAATACCGGGATGCATAACTAAATAGTTTTTGTTTAGTGTTTAGTATATTTAATTATAGGATAAAGTAGTTCCAAAAGGTTTAATGTAATTTAAGAACTATATATTATGTATATTACCCATTGTCGGCGCACGTCATCGCGCCTCGGCCAAAATGATGGACGCGTGGGAGCGCGGACCGGTCGCTGACCTCGCAGCAGCGCGAGCGCTTCTGTACCTCACTCAGCGGCGAGACGCGGTAGCAGACGGGCACTTTATTTTTCAATTTATAATATGTTTGTTTAGAGGTTTTACGGCATTAAACCTATTGTTAATACAGTCCACTCATTTTATTTCTAAAGTCCCGATAAGGCCTAAACACCCATTATTTAATAAATTTTAATATGGCAAAACGTCGTTCCTACTATAATTATTGCGTGGATAGACGCTAAATGACCAACAAAATATTTCAGATATATCATTATTTATTACCGAAGGATTTTAGTAGGAAGTTATGAAACGTGAATTTATTTAATTTTTTTTTGTTAGATAGGTACTTAAAGCAAAATTAAGTAATAATATATTTAATATCTACGAACTTTACTACAAAATTTAGTAGAAGTAGTTTACTTCACTATCCAAGTATCTACTTACGTACATATACTTGTCTTTTGTATTAAAATATTTTAAGCTGTTATTTTAGCTTAAAATATTTTAAGCTAACATAACAGAAAACACTGAAATCAAAGCTTTGTTTACTAACAAAATTTTAACTAAGTAGAATACAATTACATTTCTGTTAGGAATCATATTTCAAGTTTATTTGTTGTTTACACTATCTACCTTTTCCTTCAGAGCGAAGCGTCGCGATTCCCGACGAATGGTCTTGCAAGTTGCATGCGTTAGGCATCGCAGAACTCATGTAGGTGCGAAAATATGGTCTGTCGATCATAGTCAGAATAGGTATTTCACCTAAGTAACCTAATTAATATTTCGCAATGTATTTTGTTACTCTATTGACATCCCTCCATAACGGAAAGTCCACCGTAACGTAGGAAGAGGAAAATGTGCAAAGTAATACGGACACTCTCGCGCAGCGATAGTTTTATTTAGCTTGCGAGCGCGATTTATCTAATTAATAATAGTTATATAGGCTATTAAACGTCGGCAAGCAGTCAACATTAAAAGAGTGAAACTTCTGTACGTAGTATTATTATTTATTCTGTGACGAAGCAGATGTTAAAATTTGTCACACAGTACATTGCGAGAGGCCGTTTCGAAACGGGTAATAATCACCTCTATCTCCTTATTTCGTTTCGAAACGGTTCTACCAATGTACCTACTCTGTGACACATTTTAACAGCAGCTTCGTTTTTATGTCCGTCTTTAAAAGGCCTCATTTACATATTATTTCGCGAGTGGCGGATAAAAGTTAATAATAAACAACGTTACTAATGTAACCGTTATCTTATCGTTGTTAACGATATCGTCACGATATAGATAACGTTATTTTTTCCCATAACTAGTCTTCCCAAAAAGACAGGTGTCAGGATTGCATTCTCTGAGGGGCCAGACTTTAGCTTATAATAATGGTTGTATTCGACTTTCGACCTGAAATATAACTATGACGCATATTTTCGTAAAGCGCATGGAGGGATTGTCTTCGCTCTAAAAACCGTAGTCAAAAGCTGTAGTTTACCGTTGTAGTGCATTAAATAAAGACTTCATCTTTCTAAAGCCGTAATTTTCTGCAAATAATCTGCTCACATCGTTACGATATCGCCCTTGAATAAACGCTAAAACGTGAAGTTTTCGACGCAAATCGCCCTCTTAAATTTTAAATAAAACAACGTTATACTTTTGACTAATTTATTGATACAATCCTCAACAACAAATACTGAAATACTACAAGATGATAAGCTGTTAAAAGTTAATTAAAATACCTTATTCTTACTTGTAACCCCTAGTTTTAATTAAATTCATATTAGATTTTATATAATAAATCACATCAGCAACTTTCAGTTGCAAAACTAACTAAAGGAACATAATGCTAACCCTTGTTCGTACAATGGGTGTTACACACCTTGAAATCAAAATATTTTTATTCACTCCTAATAAATTATGACCTGTGAACAAATCATTTAGGCTTTACCATTAATAAAAAAAAATTGAACGCCTATAATATACATCTTTTCCAATATTTCTTTTCATAAATGTAGCAATCAGAATGCATAGTATTACGATTTTTGTAGTAGACATAGACAACTTACAAAAATATCAGCGAAATTTTTATTACACTTTATGGAAATTTATTTTTATAGTATATATCAAACTTTTTTCCCTTATCATAAATTAATGTATATTGTTAAAAATCATTTCATAACACCATTATTCAAGCAAAGGTATCTCCGAAAATGAATATAATGTATCAGAATAATATACCTAAAAGAGTTGTACACATTTTTTATGAGTTTAAAACATTAGATATAAAGATTTTTTTTACTTCATACTTGAGTGGTTTGGTTTCAAACTTGGTTAGGTCCAAAAAAATATTTTTTAACTGACAATGCAGCTAGATTCGCTACGTAAAAAGAAACACTTTTAAAATTAAAAACTAGCTAAAGCCCGCCTTTGCCTCTAAATCTACTTCCAAAAGTGACAGTGGCATCTTTAACGGTCAAATCTCTGACAGTTCATTATCAAATTTAGACAAATCCATTTCGGCCAACAGCCATGTTATTTTGTGTCAGTTGCTGTGTTTGTGATGACGAGTGTTTCTTTGCATTTTTTAAAATAAAATTATTGAAAATGGATGAAAATCCTCAAGAGATACAGGAAACTCAAGATAATTTATCAAGAAAACAGTTACTACATCCAAACAAGTGAAAGCGTAACGCGGAAAATTTTTCTCGGTAAGTAACTTTGAATTTCCTGTCGCCATGCATTTGTGGGCAGTGGACCTCAACATTTTATAACCTGGGTTGTTTGGGTTTGCGTTGAATGTGTAATTTGTGTTATTATTTATTATTTTGAATATTTGACTGAAGTGGTGCAACATTTTAAATTTACTTATATTATGTATGGTGCACCATATACGGGTGCCTGGTTGTTTTACAATATTGCCTTGTACTACACATAATAATAAATAACTAAACTCAATGGTGTGAAGCTTGGTTACGCTTATTTATATGTCAGTGCTTTGCTTATTAAACATTTTTATTTCAGATGCTCTCCAAACGCTCTACCAAATATCAAAGTACATAGTGATCATTATTCCAAGGCATACAGATGCACATCGCTTAGAAAAAATGATATAATTGCATTTCATTCTGCCTTTTACCGAACAAAGTCAAAAATAGATCAGGATAACTTTATTTTGCAACATATGAAATTGTAAAACGTAAAATTTAACTCATTATTCTGAAAAACTATTTCAAAAATAATTTTGAAATAGTTTTTTTAAAAGCTTTTAAGTTGATTTATAATATTAGTCGGATGCTAAAAATTGTATTGTAATGTGACACTTAAGTATAGTTTTTTTTTATTAAGTTAGTGAGTAAGTATAGTTTTCCCTTAAAGATTCTAATTTCGATCTCCACAGTTTCTAAATATTACACGCGTATTGATGTTATTTCCGACAAAAAACTATTTAATTTGCAGTTAAAATTAAATAATTTCTACGTGTTTAAATTCTTTGTATTATTTTTTCTCCATATAACTTCAATCCTTTAGACCAAATTTGACGCTGACGTTGACATTTATTTTCAAAACTAGCTAAATCTTTAGTTAACATTTAAATTCAGCCATATCCAAAAACCGAACTTTCAATTTGACTTGATAATCAAAAGCATGCAAAATCTAATTTTGAAATAATTATCCTGGCTTTTATTTGCATGGAGGCAAGGTTTATTTTTCTGTACATATTTTTAAATATCTCGTTTGAATTATCCGGCTCAAACTTAAATTTGGTTAAAGGTTGCGATAAAAAAAATACAAATCGTAACCATTGTAGAATCTTACGTAAAATGGATTTGACCAATTTTGAAACCAAACCACTCACTTGATTGTAGTACTCATGTACTATGATTATGTGTTTATGTGTTTATGTGTTATGTATTTCCATATTTTTTTTCCGATTTTAATAAATCACTTAAATGACGACGATAGAATGTTACATTTAAAACTCCAAGATACAATGCACTAAAGCCTCTCAATATAATAACTTACAATATAGTTCCGTTTTTATAAATTTGGGGTGAACTAAATAGAATCTTAAATAATAATTTTTCAGGTCACACCTTATATTGCAAATAGATGAATCACAAAAGTAACTGATCACAAGAAAAATTTATTAATTTTCAACATAGGCCATTATTTTGCCTACATATTAAATCTGAAATAATAGCAAATGTAGAATTTATTTCGAACAAATGTAAATTACGCTTAAAATATTATGTAATAGTTAAAATATTTGTAAGCTTACGAGTATATAAAACCTCAACCATAATTACACGGTTATATTTTAACCTATACTTCATAAAAATACGCCACTTTTATGTCGGACAAGCTGAGAAATGTATAATCGTTTTGCTTTTTATTTTATAACCTTACATTTACATTTAAAGAATTTTAATAAGATATAAAATGACTATAGTATAAAGAGTAAATATGAGATGTGCACGCTTATTTTAATTATGCTCTGTATTGCAGCCTGTGTCTCTCATGTAGATATTATACATAAAATAAGTGATTTACACTTTAGTAGTAAGCAAGTAGTTGTTAGAGTTTTTCTCTTTTAGACAATCTGTTTTATTTTATAAATAACAGCTCTATAGCATTTAACAAACTAATTATTGATTCACAATATAAACGTTTAAGTTAGAATTAGTTGAGATGGAAGCCACGTTCGTTAGTCGCAGCTAGCAGCCTTTCACGAAGCACTTCCTTGCACGAGTACTCGGGCAATTTAAGGTAGTGCACGCACGTATTCACGGATGGGTACGAACCGTCGCCAGCATCAACCTTTTGAACAATAATACCGTAAATTAATATTTTTATATATACATTATAGATAATGGTTGCTGTGGCCCATAGACATCTACATCTTTCCTCGATTACGAATCAAAATGCAGATGCGTTGTCACCCGTGAGGACTAAGATGGAATGCCTCGTTTCCAGTAGAAATGGTCTCCGATTCTCTACACTCACCATACATAACACAGCAACGTTTATCTGCTATTTTACGCTGGTATTCCGTAAGAGCGTTGGTCCTTCTCAGGTCGAGCCGACCCATTCATGCTACAACTATATTACTAATATAGCTGCAGCACGGCTCTACCATGTAATATAAACTGTATGTATTGTAAAAGAGAGTAAACATGACCACTTTTACCTAACTGTCAGACACGCTGTGTGCCCAGCAAAGTAATGCATCACTCAGGGACCGACTGATCGGAAAATCTATCGGAAAATAATGAACCCAGATTTCATTCTGGTGATTGATAGCAGTATACCAGTAAGTGTATGTCTTTGAAAGCCTTTATTCAACGTCCTAAGTTTAGAAAAGTCTTTCAAATAATTTATGTCCAGCAGTGGACACTGAGTGAGCGGACTTAATAAGGCTGGTTGTCAATACACTCCGAATAAAAATTTGAAAGCAATAAAAATGGCTTTTTTAGTGATCATTGAAGCCATTTTTATGTCATTATAATAATGTTTTTCGCAGATTTCAAAACTGCGGAGACAACTTTCGAATAACGGTAGCGCCTATTTTCTGGAGTCAATGCGATACCTCAGTTACTCTCCTTAGTACTCTGCAGTCCAAACTGACTCCTAAGTCAGATGCAACTTTTTCCTAAGGGCCATTGCACCCTTATTGCGTCTTAGTCTGACAGGAGCCTCGACATTTTAGAATGTGTAAATACGACCATTTTTATACAAATAAAACAAAATTCTTCCTCGCATAAAGTTATATAATAACCTAAATAAATACATGTACATTACACTAAGACATTTTCATTAAGTTTGGTCTAAGACGGCCCCATTTTTGGCAGAGAAGGAGCCCAAACACTAGTATCCATACTTTTTTATCAGTTCAGCGGATTTGTCATCTACGCAATAAATGTTGCTTTCTGCGACAATGGCAATACCTTAAGTGTTCGGTTTTGCCAATTTGAAAACTAGAGTGTAATGAATACCTTGCGTACGACGGTGAGCCGCGGGTGCAGGTTGGCGAGGCCTCCGGGCGGCAGGCTGCTGCAGCCGGTCGCGAACTGCAGGAACGCCTTGCGTTCGCGCACCGACATCTCCACCAGCACCTCCACCAGCCGCAGGAACCCGGGGCTGCAATTTCCCATTCAAACATAGCATACCTTTGCCGTTTCAACCGTAGTGGCAGAAAATTGAACTAATACTTAGATTTTAATCTGTGGAGTCCCTGTCCAAAATATAGAATTAGCGCATGCTATAAACATGAGTGCTCAGAACAATTCTTTTTTAAACGTTATTTATTAGAATTACACGACTAATTCTAATAAAATTATTGCGCATTTCTAAAAACTTTATTAGAATTAGTCTCGAGTATACGAGAAATAATTAAGAGAATTTACTTGGAATGACGACCTTTCGCCATTACACTACTTTACTATTAGAACTACGTCGGCTTCGCAGGTCGATGTAGTACTTTATATTTGTTTTACCAGATTTCTACTTTGGAGTTGCCAATTTATTCGAAAACGTCTAAAATGGTAGTATTGCCTATCCATTGTAATAATATATATATATTGATTTTGGAGTACTATGTTGTTTTTTCTGTAAAAATATTTCTGTAAGAGCCCTGTGGCGACGCTGTCGTCGCGCCGCAAGCGAAACACACCTAAGCCTAAATCGCGCTATCAAAATTCCGAATCATAAACAGTATATATAAAACATCTCCGTACTATCACACGGAGCGTTGGCTGCTCCCCGGGCAGAACACCTTGCCCCGCGGGGGATCTCCCAATTTCCTTCTATGGCCACAGCCCCATCTACATGGTTTGTCAAGTACTATGTGTGTTTATCGACATGCGAAGCCGACGCAGTTCTCCCCGAATTTAATACAACGGCGCTGTTACCAATACCGTATAGATTCCATACACGTTGACAGGGTCTGGATTTGAGAATAAAAAAAATTATTGACCTCGGCCAGACCACAGGTCTGACGGAGTTGGTCCGATACAATGTTGGGATCTGCGAGGTTAAAATATTTTTAAACCAAGGTATCATACCAAAACAGTCAAAAGATAATAAAAAATAACAATACTGTTTGTTAAATATAAGAAATATATTTAACTAAGCCTCAAAATATAAAATTGTTTCTAAGAATAATGCTAGCCAATGTTATTAATTACAAAGGTTCCACAAAGGTAAAAGACAGTTATGAGGTGTTTAAAAGTTTGCGTTACAAAAAACTACATTATTCTCTTTTACAATTACTACAGTCCCGTGTTAATGTATGTACCTGCTACTTGAAACAACATCACGCATCCAGTAAGGGTCGGCGACAATAGAACAATAGTGGCTAGACAATGCCCCTCCAGCTACGACCCTAGCCTGTTTTTAATTTACAAAGCGCTCTCTGTTAACCCTGCCATATTACGTTAAAGCTATGAATACACACACATGACTTTATTTTAAATCATATTATTGTAAAAAGCTCTTGAATAAATATGACAATTTGCAGTAATATAAGAATGGCTTAATAATGTGTTTTAATTTTTTAATTTAATACAATGCAAAGAAGTCTTATTCTAGAGCTTTTAATCCAATCCAATTAAAATTGCTTTAAACTCTTGAAATAGAATGATACTCAGAATAAACTCAAACTATTTTCTTTTCGACCGTAAGTTTGAATAAAGGTAACGTTTTTTGGTCTCTTGTAGTGTTGATATAATTTTCCTTTGTAAATACCCTAAGACATCTCACACCTTCAACACCGATCTAATGTTACCATGGCTATGTCACCTCAATCCTGAGATATGGCGTTATATTTTGGGGAAATGCACCCAACATTCGCGAAGTATTCATCGCACAAAAAAAAATTTCTACGTGCGATCTGTAGTTTAAAAAGCACAAACACATGCAAGCCGCATTTTCAAAAATTAAAAGTTCTAACATTTTCCCTCATTATATATTTATGAAAAAACAATAATGTAAAACGTAATATTAACATGTATAAGTTCGTGGAAAGTCAACGTCGCTCAGATAAGCTTCATTTAGTATCAAGTAGAACTGTTTTATTACAGAAGAGTATATATGCAATGGTACCAAAAGTATATAACAAAATACCTAAATACATTAGAGATTGTGACAACATTAATATTTATAAACGTAAACTTTTTGATCTACTAAATGAAAAAGCATATTATTCTTTAGATGAATTCCTTAGCGACACATTTTAACATTAAAATACTACATTGAATACCTATATACCTATCATGACATGTGCCAATTAATACTAGATGACAATTAGACAAAATTGATGATAATTATTATATGTTATATTATACCTTTATTATCTTTAAAATTTTCTTATTAATACATTATTTCAATTAAAAACTGACATCAGAAGAGAAGAAAAAATATTAAGCAAATAATATTTTATATTTTGTATGCCTACTGGCGGGACATAGAGAACCTACCTTGTATTTTACTATGACATATATTGAGATCTGTAAAATAACCTATGTTCACAAAATAAACTGATTTGATTTGTAGTTAAAAATAATTCTATTCGGTATCTCGTTTTGCTAATACGACAAACATGACAGGCAAATGTTCGAACCGTATCTATGTATTTTAAATCAATCTTTGTTACGATATTGGCGATAGATGTATCTTTGTAAGTGGTACGATGTATCGGAGCAGGTGGAGTAGTATACCGGTGTCGGCAGTGTGGTATGACATGTTCATATATTTCTGCAGTGTAGTTAGTCGTTTAAGCGAAGCATGGTGTCAGTGTAGTCGGTAAAGTGTGTCGGTATTTAGCGGGGTGATGTGTTGTTGTATTGTGACGGTGTAGGCGGAGTGGTGTAGGTGTGATGTATCACTACGGGAGTAATATGTCGGTGTAGTGTTATTATAGCGTAACGTTGTGAACCATTTTGAAGAACGACCTTTATTGTTACAACTTATTAGTCCACGGCTGCACATTGGCTACGGATTGCCTCATAGTAGGGATGTTTGCCATAGTTGACACGCTTGGCAAGCGGGTTGGCAACGGCAATTTTTTATTCACTATTAGGAAGACGCTTCTGCCTATCTTCTGATTTGTTACCCTCTGTCGCCTCTTACGACACCCGCGGGGTGATATGGGGTAGTGGACATTCCTACACCGGCACTTCACGATAACGGAACGATATATTTTTTAGATTTGGACGGCAGCTTAGTATTTTTCAAGCTTTCAAGACAGAGTACACATATGTCACCATCATAACCATGTTTTTCGTTTGCACTAATACACTCAAACATATAATCACTTCTAATCACTATTATGTATGTCAAAATCAATTTTAAACGATAATACAGGAGTTGGAATCTCTAGGTAGGCTTTTGTAGTATGGCCTACAGCCTAAGAAGAACATACAGTCAGTTATCGCGTTTTATGTTGTAGGAAAATCAAACATAATTAATTGCTAGAGTTGTCAGAACGGGAAGCAATAAAAGAATAAAAATTTGATTTTATTATATCTCAATTTTAAACAAATCCGTATTCCGTATCCTATATCCGTAATTTCACCGAATGTGAAAACTGGTAAAACTTTAATTCCTTATCTTTAAATTAGTACGATCCACAGTTTTTTACCGCATGTGTGTGCGTGCGTGTGTGCTTCCGCCGTGTGTGTGTGTGTGTGTGTGCGTGTGCGTGTGTGTAGTGTATGTGTGTGTGCGTGTGTGTAGTGATGTGTGTGTGCGTCTGTGATGTGTGTGCGTGTGTTAGTATATGTGTGTGTGCGTGTGTGTGTTTGTGTGTCAGGGCATGACGTCACCTGTCGCGCGTGTAGCCGAGCTTGGGCTCGGTGTACTGCAGCAGGTGGTCGCGCGTCCAGTCGACGCCGCGCTCGCCGCACAGCAGCAGGCGCAGCTCAGCGGGCGAGAAGGCGCGCAGGCGGCGCGGCGGGAACACGGCGCCGAACCCGCTGCGGAACGCGCCGGCCTGCCGCCGCACGCCCGACCGCACCGCCCACCGGGCAGACGACTCCGCGTACGTGCGGGCGTTCCACGCACCAACCTGTTATAAAAGTGCACAGGTATACAAAACGAGAATTGGTCAAATTCACACTTCACTACACATTGTACATTAACTTCAAATGTCTTGGGTAGGGTGTGCAAGCAATAAATAAAATACACTAAAAATACATTTTAATTTATGTTTTTCAAGCTTATCTTTTAGATATGTTATAAAAACTATCTCAAAATGGCAGCGTGTCATAAAAAATGTAGTTTAGACAGCAAAATTATCAACAAACCTAATACTATACCCACTCTCCGTAAAATAACTAGTCCATAGTAAATATTACAGTAAACACAACTTTGAAACATGACTTAATAAACATAACTATATCAAAGCATGAATGAAGGTTTGCATAAAGAAGTTGTTTTTTTAGGGCTATACACCCCAGATATATCTAAGCCCACTTATATGCGAGAACAGTGTTGGGAGACCATAAGGATGGTCTTAATTAAAATATAAGGAGAATTAAAATATTTTTATGCTAAGAAATTTCAATAAAATGCTTATGAAAACATATTGGTAACGTTTGGTGATTAAAGTAGAAATGAGAATGGTAAAAACCTTCTCACAAATAAGGTGGTAGCGAGATAAATATAAATGAAATAATGAAAGCAATAAAAGCGTGACAGCAGGTTAGGCGGCTAGGTACGATAGTGTAATTAAAAATTCTGCTAACTTTAAATGACGACGAAGTGCTAGCATGACTGTACTTTAACCTGTATTTTAATTTAATCTGGGACTTAAGTAAATACCAGAAACCTGATTCTAACCCGTTAGTCATACTGTATAAGGGAAAAGGGTTACAGCACCACTGTAAAAACTACCCTGGTTAGGATTGTGGGAAAACTGTAATAATTGAAAACTAAACCATTGATTTAAAGAGTTATGAAAAACCCTAACAGAAAAAAATCCAGTATGCAAGGTTTAGAAAGGGGATGATGAAGTGTACGGATTAGGTTTATTCCATTTCCATGCCTATGGTCACAGAGAAGTTTGTGGCCAAAAGCCATAGTTTTCTGTGTATTTATAAACTAAGAAAAAGTTAATGACAGAGACGACAGAATTCCTTATGACAAACATTGGCCTCGGGTGGACTGAGCGCTGTGCTGATACAGGCATTAAAATCTCTTAAGGCCACCCGTCTTTCCTACCAACTATTAACGATTAGACAAGGTACTAAAAGCTTTTATAACTTCACACCTACTTACGAATACAGACTGCTTCACTCAGACCTTTATCGGTGGTCTATACTATGTAGAAAACTTCACGTCCAGTTATTATAAAATCGTTCACATAATATTATTACATTAATATCTACTATTGAGGTGAGGATAAGGTACATCTTGATAATTATACAAATTTTTTGTCACGTTAAATAATTAATCGTTAAGCATCTCATATTTTTCGTAATACATATTATGTTATAGACCAAGTAATTAATCAGGGCACTATTTATAATGACCGAGCAATATGAATATTGACAAGTCCAATCGGTCTATGTAATTGATACCAATTCGATATAACATAATATACCCTAACCATTTTAATTACTTTTAAGATAATAAGGTAAATAATGTAGCAAATCTGAATTAACCAGTGTAAAAATGTAAAGGAAGGGAAAAAGCATAGTTTAAAGACCTCTTTACTTAGGTGGGAAACGAATATACTTGTGCAGAGTAACGGTTAGGGTCTTGCAGGGCAGGGGGCGGGCCGACCTTTTGGTAGTGCACTTCACTGAGTCTGATAGATGTTGGTGATAGATGTTGATGGTTGGGGCGAGCGTGTTTTCAACCGACTTCAAAAAAGGAGGAGGTTCTCAATTCAACTTTTTTTAATGTGTGTTCCGTCAAAACTTTGTTCTAGGTTATTCTACTACAAGGTTAGTCTTAGATATATATTTATTTGAATATTTGAAATCTGGTGCTTCTTATGTGATCCCATATAAATTTGAACAAGATCGGACCTGTAGTTTTTGAGTTATCCTTAATCAATAGGTATTTACTTGACTTCGACTACATTGATAATGTTCACATTTTATTTATATTGAAGTCGGTTGTACAAAATTTTTATTTATTACCACTTGTACAGTACTTTTAAATAATATTAAGTGCCATTTTCGAAAAATATAATATCTATAATGGTGAATTCCTTTTATAGTTATATAAGTTACTAAGTAAAATTAAATTCAAATGACGGCCATGCTTGCTTATGTTTCCTTTATTTTTGATAAAATTGTTTATTCGAATGCAAATACATAGCATAATTAAATTTTACAGTCAAAACTGAACTGAACTGACATCTATGAAAATGTTTGTCAGTCAACACTTGTAAATTTATTTCTTCTTGTAGTAATAAAAACTGATCTTGTTCAATAAACGTTTTTAGCTTATAAATATGTACATTGATAATAATTATTATAATATACAAACATATTTTATTTCCATTTTCGTGACAAACCCTTGCACACACGCTGGCCACGTAAATACCTACGCGGCATCCTCTGCCATTAAAGACGTTAAAAATCTGTAAGTTATTAAGCTGTGTAATGGGGTACACTTTCTTTGCGTTACAAAAAAAAAATAACTTTAATGAAAAACTTTATTTCCATTGTGTTTAAGTGTGAAATCATCAGTATATAACGGTACGTTAAAAAATTTAATAACGCACAATTTCATACAATTGATAAGAAAATCATAAAATATAAATGAGAATGATAATGCTAAGTTGCTGTATAACGCTGGCGTATTTAAAATTAAAATCCCGTTTAAATTTTAAATAACTAACCTCGATGTGTTCACCGCTATCACAAAGCGGCTGCACCGCCACAGCGGGGTCAGTATTAGCGGCAATGTGAGTCATTGAGAGTGCTAGTTGCTCGAATGTAGCGCCCTCTACGGTTATTTCTTGGACTCGTCGCTGACGTTCACTCTCGTCTAGTGAGGAGTCAGACATGATAACGTCATACTCGTCCGCCGCTAACAGTACTTTTTCTAAGAACCTAAAACAATAAAATTGAACCATTTTGTTTTATCTCACTTTAACCACGGGAAAAGTAATGAATTAATACAACATGTGTTAACGAAAAGGATTTTTCTGACTTCTAATTGAACTGACGGAGGACCATAAACAAAACCAGAGACAACAATAACTAGTGCTTCCTTCAAGATTATATATGTATAACAATATTCACTTCTACTTTTCTAAATGGCTAGATTATGTTGAGACAAACTTAACAATAAAATTTACATTTCAATTTCTTAATATAGACAAAACCCCTGTTTTAAGTTTGCCATTTATAAATAAATACACCACTTAACATACCTATGCCTTATCGGATCGATTTCTTTCAGATGCTCTGATGTCAATTCTTCACCACACATAAGTCGTAAGAAAGGCTCAGATAATGGTAAGTCTACTAGCCGCCCATCTTGCAGCACCTAAAATGTATAATTCAAAAGCTAGTTCAAAAATTCTCCATGTTAAAAACAGTATACACAACTATTGAGTATGTAATACCTTAGCTAAAAATACTCCTAGGAACCAAAAATATTTGCAAACTTTATCACAGATAGGAGAATCTTGAGGAAGTGGCGCCGGAAACAGGCCTCCGGCGTGCGTTACATAGTAACCCGGGGGTTTCTCTACTTCTGTAATTAAAAAAAATCATGAAAAAAATTAAGGAAAAGTATATTTTGTAAGGTGGTATAACTGTGTCTACATTATGTATATATACACAATTATAAGTTTTAAATTAAGGTTGTCTTAAATTTCATCCATGTAATAGAAAAATAATCCGAACGGTACAAAAGATTTAGCCGTGAATACTTAAATACCGTAATTTTATAGTAATGATATAAAAACTAAACTAGTCATACACGTAAAACTTAAATGCGTCTCCGAGGTACGTCCATATCGCTGCGTAAAACTCAATTCAAAGAATTTTTTTACTTTCTGTTTTGCTTATGTTCCACGTGTCACTTGTCGTACAGAGTTGCGATTATTATATGGATATAATAATCTTTGAAGTTTTTATTCAAAAATAAAAATTCCCAGATGTAAGTTCGATATTTTATTGTTTTTGGATAATTTGAGAAAATAATTTAAAAAAACATCTGTCGCGTATCACAAAAAGAATATAGACGATATTAAGATAAGGTTGACTGAAGGTGAATATTTTTAGCATTAATTCTTTTTTAGAATAAGGGTGATAGACGAGTACACATGTCAATCGTTGTGGCCCATAGATTTACTACGTTTATTTTCGAACAGAATCAAAATGCAAATACGTTGTCACCCTTACGAACTAAGATAAAATGCCTCATATCCAGTAAAAATGGTCTCCGATTCTCTACACTCTCTGTACGAAGCACAGCAACATTGAGCTGCCATTTACACTGGTATTCTGTAAGAGCATGGTCCTTGTTCGGTTGAGTCGACCCAATCGTGTTACAACCATAATATAGCTGCAACATGGCCCTACCACGTGTGAAAAATAAGTTACTAAGTTCAGTTCCCAAGGTTTAATAAAGGTGATATGAAAATAAATGGATGAAATATATTTTATTGTACACCAGAAAATATAAGATAAAAACAAATTATTTAAGGGTACAATTGGCAGCCTTATCGCTTAGAAGCGATCACATTGCAACCACATTGCAGAAGATATAATGACCTGAGTTAGGGTGTACGTAATTTGTTTGAAAATATACTCGATATAATTTTTTTTATAGAAGAAGGAGCAAACGAGCATGCGGCTCACCCGATGTTAAGTGACTACCGTCGCCCATGATCAACCATAACACCAAGGGAATTGCAGGTTGCAACTTTTAGAAAGGAGTAAGCTCTTTTCTTGAAGGTCCCCAGGTCGTATCGGTCCGTACAAATCGCCGGTGGTAAACTATTCCACGGAGAGGTCATACGCGGAAGAAAACTCCTTGTGAAACGTACAGTGGTGGACCGCCAAGCATCCAGATGGTGTGGATGGTATCGGGACGTTTGCCGCATAGTGCGTTCACGAAATTTGGCGGCTGGGATTAATCCGAACAATTCCTCAGAGCACTCCCCATGGTATATGCGAAAGAAAATGCAAAGAGATGCAACATCTCTTCGCAGCGCCAGTGAATCGAGCCGATAGGAATGCACTCGGTCGTTGACCATTCGAGCCGATCTGCGCTGGATGCGGTCAAGTGGAAGGAGCTGGTACAGGGGAGCCCCAGCCCAGAGATGATAAATATAATTAAATACTCGGTAAATACATACATGATATAATAAATACATTTCAATTACAAAAAATATTATAACACATTTACAAGTGTAGAAATGAGTAAACAAATAAGTGAAATAAAAGCCTTAACATAGGTAAAAGTAAGTAGTAATTTTAAATGAACAATGTCACGGGGAGATAGAGGAATGACTATTTAAGGAGGAAAGAAGTGCGCTTTGATAAGTTTTTTAAGTTTTCAGTAGATTGTAAATGAATAGGTGTGAGCTGACCGTGGAGCGGGAGGGGTGAGGCGGCACGGGCCGCGGGCGGGTGCGCGGGAGCGTCCTGCAGCCACATGGCGAGGTCGGCGCGCTGCAGCTCGGCCGCCACCAACGCGTAGAACTCCAGCGTGGGGCCCAGCCCCGTGCCCTCCTCGCCCGCGAACTCCACCTCCAGCACCGACTTGCGGCCCGCGTGTACGCGCATCACCTGCGCACCGATAACAACACCTGCTTCACACAGTCACTGCTTATACGGCCCTCGGACCGACTCTATACTAACGCCGTGGTCTCCACTGCAATAATAAGCTGAGTGAAGTCCGTTTTCTAATAAGACATGATGGATATTAGACTTAAAATATTCAAATTGACTGTGGGATCGAAGTCAAAGGAAGAGGCGAGGCTTCTGATATGCTATGCTTCTTTCTTTTCTTCTTTTTTCGAATGTGATAACCAATCCGCTTTCAAAGCGTGGCGATTATGGCAAAACATTTCCACAAATGGAAGACATTTCCTTACAGAACACTGTTAGCATCTGATACAGGAGACAAAAACACCAAACTGGCATCTGGTAATAGCGTGAAAAGTGTAAAATGCAACTAATTACAATGGTAGAGTCCCATGTGTAAGACAGTCTGGAAGAAGTACTACAAATTAACGAACCTGCATCGCAGACCGCAATAAGTTGGGCTGTCGCGGTATACGCACTCGTTCGTGACGTAAACGTCCCGTTCGGAACTCTGTCGCCTCGATCTCAGCGCGCCGCGGTGACACCGTGTTACCCGCTCTGACACAAGAATGTACTTTGATAATTATACATGTCTAAACTCTGTTATACAAATATTTTTACTACATACAAATTGTATTAAATAGTAAAATATCATGCTACCTATAAACCTGCGAGTTAGTTTAATTTTTTTAAATTATTTTCATCTGCTTTTTTATTTTTCAATGTTTGATTTTTTTATAGGAAAAGGGTGACAAGCGAGCACACAATCCACCTGATGGTAAGTGGTTGCTGTGGCCCATAGACATCTACATCTATCCTCGTTTGCGAATCAAAATGCAGATGCGTTGTCACTCATGAGGACTAAGATGGAATGCCTCTTTTCCAGTAAAAAGGGTCTCCGGTTTTCTACACTCACCATACGAAACACATCAGAATTAACCTGCTATTTGATGCTGGTATTCAATCAGATCAGTGTAACTAAAGAGATCCTCTGTATAATAGTGCTAAAACTTTGCGACGAACAAAATATTACCGCTGTATATGCACACTATTTAATTTACCGATAGTGCGAAATATTTATTAATCAAATACCTTTGTCTATCTAACGCGCGGTCGCGTTGTGCCTGCAACCAGACAATAGTACGGGAAGTGCCGAAAGCTGTGCAAGCGAAAAACATCTGCCTCGTCTCCAGTGGGAACAAAAACGGACACCAGTCGTTCAGTTGTTGACACCTGTTAAAAATAATGATATATTGAATACAACACTGTTATATTGAAAAGGAAATAAAGCTAAGAATTTACCACGCTGTTCCATTACTGACTTACGGACTTCATACATAGCCAATTATTTGTACAGTTCTAGTATCATTTTCCTCTTAAGAGTCTTGAACCTATGAATTGAATCTGTTGTTCAAAGAAAATGATACACTACACACTACCGTCATGTAAAAATTGCACTTCGTTACGTCGTTTAGGCACGGAACATCAGTAGTACGGTGCAGTACGTAAGTAATACGAGTCCGACACAAAGTCAGCAGTGCAGTGCGATACCTGACCAGTACGGCACGGTACGTCAGTAATGACGACGACTCCGTGGCGCAGTGGCTTAGCAATGAGTGGCTGCGCTGGGAGTCGCGGGTTCGAATTCCGCACGGAATAAATATTTGTATGGCCTACAAATAGTTGTTCCGGGTAAACTGCCCCCACGATATAAGAGAAAACTTTAGTGTAGGGGTAACGTTTTAAAAAAAAAAATGAGAAAAAAATAAGAGATAAGAATGAGAAACAGCGCGTAGACGGCGCCGCACGTCAGCAGTGAAACACAGTACGTTACCAGTGCGGCGCGGCGCCGGCGGCGAGCGTGAGCGGGTCTTGCAGCTGCTGGTGCAGCTTGTTGGTGAGCTTGGTGGAGAGGAAAGCGGCGGGCGGCAGCTCAGGCGCGACGCTGCGCAGGCGCCGCAGCGCGCGCACGCAGCACGTCACCATGTCACCCTCCGCTCCCTCGCAGCATGCCACTCCGCGCTCTGAACAAATAACAATGGCAATAAGCATTCAAAACGTTCATGCCGAGAGTTTTGGCGGGAACTTAACTGCCAACGGATTGCTGCTATTTATTATAAAAATAATGTTTTGAAGTTGATTTGATACGTAAAGTTGAGCGATTTTGAATATTAAATATCTGCGCACGTGAACTATTAGTTGGAGTATTATTGGTTGAAAGTATCAAATTCATCCATTCTATCCATCCATCCCTATCGATATCGACTACCTGCTTTTACGCACATCATTATGACGCTCCATAAGCCCAAAAAGGGCGAGATAGACTGATTAAAATAATTTATTACCCAACGACTCAATTGATATAGCGCGCACTAAGGCTAAGATCCACGTGAATTGCAGAATTTATTTTACCTGATGATGCCTCGCACTTAAATCGTTATAATAAGACAAAAGAAATGAATTAGCGCTCGATTACTTACAAAACCGATGTCGCCACATCGTAACACATACGCAGTAAGCAACAAATAGATATTAAACACGCACACACTTACTAAACACTAGTGAAGTGTATGTATGTATGTATGTATGTATGTTTATATATATATATATATATATATATATATATATATATCTTAATTTATAGTAATTACGCTTCATCTTACTCCAATATATACTTCTCATCAAAAAAAAATCGAAACACCTTGCAAGTTTATGTTTTGTAAGGATTATCAGTTTTTTTTATTATTTACGAATAAATATCAATATATAAATATAAATGTCGCTTAATAGTGAGTTTTATGAGGTTTTGAAACTCTAATGTTATTTTTCTAAATTCAAATAAAATTTTCAAGTCGTTTTCTTTAATGAGTCATTTTTATTTTACGTAGAACGAAGGCAATGAATGAAATAACACACGTAGGTGAAAAAAAAAACTGAAAATCTTTTATTAAATAACGTTTAATAACTAGTGTTCCCTCCTCGAGCTCTTATCACCGCTTCCATCCGGTTTTTCATCGATCGGATTAAGTTACGATGACATGCTGTGGGATGTTGTCCCATTCTTCCTGAATGGCACTTTTCAGCTGGTCAAGTGAGTCTGGGGCAGGATCTCTCGCTCGGATTTGCCTCTTTAGTTGATCCTAGAGATGTTCAATTGAATTCATGTTCGGGCTCCTTGCTGGCCATCCCATTATGGAGATACCGACTTCGGTAAGATAATCACGTACGACGCTTGCGGTGTGGGCTCTGGCGGTATCGTGCATAAATGTGAACCCGTTGCCGATAAAGTGTGCATAGGGCATCACGTGAGGCTCTAGGCACTGTTCCACGTACCGATGACAGTTCAAAGCAGGTAGACGTGGCCTAAACACGAAGGCTCTGTCTTACCGTCGGCGCTGATTCCGCCCCAAACCGTCTACGAACCACCATCATAACTGACCTTTTCTTCAATGCAGCATTGTGCAAAGCATTCTCCATCCCTTATGTAGACCTTGTTCCTTCCGTCATTTCCATAGAGCATGATTTTACATTCATCAGAGAAGAGAACTTTACTCCATTGGAGATATGACCAATTTAGGTGCTCGCGTGCAAAGTCAAGGCGCGCTCTTCGATGGTCTGCAGTTAATTTCGGTCCATTTGCTGGCTTGTGTGGTACCAGTCCACATTCCTTCAACCTTCTTCTAATTGTAGAGTCACTTACAGCGACCCTTCGTACAACTTGAAGCTGCTGCTGCAGTTGAAATGTATTAAGGCACCGGTTTCGTAAAGAAGTTGATACAATAAATCGATCATCTCTCTCAGAAGTTACCCGATTCCTGCCAGATCCAGAACGGCGCGTGAACATACCAGTCTCTCGATAGCGGTTGTAGACTCTATGAATAGATGACAGGCTTAGATGCAATGTTCGAGCCACAAAACGCTGACTAAGTCCAGAATCCAGCAATGCCACCACTTGGGCGGCTTCTGTGGGCGAAGTATCCATATGTTTTAGGAAATAATTGTTTTTTTTTTTTTCAGAAGGCTTAAAGTCACAGTAAACAAATTAAAAACAAAAACGTTAAAGATAAACGCAAATTTTTAGTTTTTAAACGAAAAAATAGTGATTCATTTCATTTAGAGAATAAACAAATGAAATTATAATTTCGAATTTTGAATTCTCGCTTACCATTGTAATGGCCAGATTGCCAGCTGGCCATTACAATGTACAATAAGGTCTTTTTGTTCATGGAATGAAAAACTATTTTGTATTAAATTAGGTGTTTAAATTTTTTAACAAATTAAAACGAAGGTGTTTCGATTTTTTTGATGAGAAGTATATAACGTCACACACTGTAAGCACTTTCGATGTATGTGATGTGTGCGATGATGTGTTTCCATGAAAATAATACTAGGAATTGACAAAAAATCTTTATATATTAAAATGGATTACAAGTAGCAAAGACAACCATAGATATATAACATTTTTTTTAAATATGTAACAGTAATGATACTTAAGAATTAATGGTATGTATTATTTAAATTCAAGCTATCTATTAACAATCAGAATACTTAATTAATCGAGATTATAGCGTAGGTACACCTCATGAAATAATTAAGTTAGATTGATATGAATATAGAAATAAGTTCAATTAACAGAGTAGTGATTCCTATTTTTTCTTTATGATATTTACATAGTCGTCAACTGTTTAATACCCTTACACTATACCTTACTATATCTTTACACTATGTAAATGTAATTAACTATATAGGGTACTAAACAAAAATCTGTAGCAGTACCTTGCAATTAATATTGTCAGCAATTTTACGAAGAGTTTATAATTAACCCGTAAAATTAATAAATTAATTAAAAAATTCAAACGGATAATCATATACTTCTCCAAAATGCATTTAACCAACTGGACTATGTTGTTATCAAGAGAACATAGTGGCCATACTGACGATACTGAATATTCGCAAATATATTTGTGGCAACAAAATGACTCATGGCTCTCTGAACAGATTCGTGTATTTTCTGTAGGGAACCAGTCCTGTCTACCCGTAATATTTATCCCTTTTTCTTTAATATCAGGATCTTTCAACAATCTAGAAATAAGTGATAAATATGTTCCAGTAAATAAATATAATTAATTATACTTCCTAAAAAGACCACTTTTTCTTTACATTTATCAGCATGCTAAACATTTATAGACATTAATACGTAAACTTAAACAAATAATTACATTCTTAATGAAATTATTGTATAATTATTATTAAGAATATTTTACGTTCAAATGTCATTTAGTTTTTACCCCTACTTTCATTCATTACAATCGTGCAACTGATGCCTGCAACCGTATTATAAACATACGCAAATACACAATGATATCTAATGTTTCACATTACATTGCTTGGCGAGTTTGTTAGCTTCACGTGCATCGCGTATTATGGTAGAACAAAATCAGCAATGGTAATTGTACAACTCGAAACATAGTAAAGTATTCATCTAGATGTAAATTAGTTAAAACAATGATAAATAGTAAATAATCAACTTACCGATGAAATGTTATGCCTTTATTAGTTGAATTACACGTCCTTGATGAGTTTTACAACTAATTATACTGCAGTTAACCATTATAATAACATAAATTCACGTAGGACGTACCCCGCGCAACTAAATCAAAATATTGTTAATGATGTTCGTCAACACATCATAGCGGCGACAAGGTCACGCGACTATGCGACTTCTATTGTTTTATTATTACGATCCACCTCATAATATAATCTTTTTGTCTAAAAAGCACTCCTTTATTTACAATATAAAATGTTATAATAAATACCTGGATCACAAGGTTCGTCATCTTCACTATCACTAGACGACGCAAAAGTATCCGTCCCCTCGATTTCCTTGTAGGTCAATCTGTAAGTGTGACTGTTTGAATCAGTGAATTAGAAGGGTTGTGAGTGTAACTCGGAAATTAATAATACAATAATATATCACCATATTATATTACTGATATAAAACACTCATACAACTTTAAAATACTTTACCACAGTTTAAAGACCTTACACTCTGAAACTAATGTATTTGTGCAAAGCAATGGTTTGCACAAGTACAGGCGGCACATTAAATTAAATTGAATTCAAATGACGGTCATGCTTATGTCTTTTTTTTTTTTGATAAAATTATTTATCCGAATTTGAATACACTACATAATTAAATTTAACAATTGAAGAGTGAAAATGAAAAAGAAAATGTCAGTATAATATTTGGCAGTGCAACACTTGTAGACGTGTTTATTTTTGTACTAATAAAGAATGGTCTTGTTCAATAAATGTTTTTAACTTATGAGTAACCATAGAAAGAAAAAATTGTATTTTACTTTTTTCATTGATTGGTAGTATTAATAGTATTTTATCAGACCCGTTATCAGATGATGCCAAAAAATTTTATGTTAGTAAATAAGAGTTTAAGTAATTAATAAGTTTATTTGTTAGTATTTATCCTATTTAAGAATTTTGCTGTAACTACCAGTGCGTCATAATCGCTTCAGCGACAAAGCCCTTTTTCAAAGAATTAAAAAAAAACTTATAAGTGTGTGCATAATGTTAATAAATGATAATGAGTATTATAATATACAAAATCATTATATTTTCATTTTCGCGACAACCGCCAACATACACACTGGCCGCCTAAACACCTACTATGGCGCTGGCATCGCCGGACAATAAAGGCGTTTCACAACTGTACTTACATCTGTGTCTTAAAACTGCGGCTTTATTAAATAAATTACGGTTTCTAAGTTCTCATCCATTGACATTATAATCGCCCATTAGCTCTTTTATTTGAAAATACACCTCAAAAATCTACCGTATTACTAGTGGAAATATAAATAATTATAGATACTCACGTGTATGTGGTGTCCCTATGCGTATCGTGAGCAGGCAGTTTAGCGTTAAGTGCGAGCACGGCGCGGTACAGCGTCCACGAGGGACGGTCCAGCGGCAACGACACTCCACCGGAGCTCAAGACGAGCCGCAGCCCGGGTAGCCGCGAAGCTGTGTTGGTTGTGTTGCTACTGATGGTGTTGGCGTTGTTGTTGTTGCTGTTGCTTTCGTTAACAACATTGCCGTTCACTTCAACCGCGCTATCCTCTACGTCGGAGTCGTCGTTGAGGGGGATGTCGAGATCTAGATATGAGTTAGCTGATTAAGTATAAACACAGTAAAAATATAGATACTACTAGTATTTAATAGAGGGCATTGATAATTTGAGACAATCCGCTGTGCACTGTAAAGTAAACATGAAATAAAATTAAAAATCATTTTTCAAACAAAATTAATATCATCTCATGAGTCATTGTTGTTGTTTTCTGACATAATAAGTTTGTAGGCGCATCTATGAAATGCCGGTTGGATCTAGTGACTAGTTGAAATTGAGGGTATAGAAACCCTCCCACTCGTTTGTGCAGTATAAAGCTCAGTGTAGGTGCAGAACGCGAGAGATTCCGCTTGAGTCATTTCACGAGTGAAGTCATTCTACGCGTGTTAAGATAGTCGTTGTTCTGTCCATTGTGGTGACTCTTCTGGTGCAGGCTAGGAGGATGGTGTTGCTGAGAGGCTGTGCTGTGTAACGTTGAGATAGGTAAGGTTGCTGTTGGTTTGCATAATATGGTGTTATCATGTAATTGTGTCCTTCACATTGCACTGGTGTGTAATTGTGATGGGGACATACTGCAGTATGGTCAAATTGTAATTACTCTATGCTGAATGTATAGTGCGTTACGCTGTCCTATTATTGATAATGATAAATTGCGCAAGTAAGAGAGCTAGTTGAACATCAGCTCTCACACTTTTACCATTTTTAATAATTAACGCTATTCTTTTATTTCCCACACAATTGGCTTATCGTGTTGTACTTTCCGACAAGTTAATAAGAAATAGTCTTTTCGTTTTTTCAACTTTATAGTCCGTTACTTTTTATTTTACTTTAACATGTCAGCCTTTATGTATGATATATACTAAACACCAGATTAAAATTGGTGTATAATATAAATAATTACTTCGCGACTTCACGGTATCGTAATTACAGACTTAGCAGCGAACTAATAAGGTGCAATGTAACGTACCGACGGTCTGGTTGAGGTTGGTCCTGCCGGGGCGCGGGTCGAAGGCGGGTATGAGCGCGGAGAACTGCCGCTTGAGCACGAAGTCTTCGTCCCACGGTTTGCGCGAGCGCGAGCCGCCGCCGCCGCGCACCGCTTCTAGCGCCTCCTCCTCCATCAGCGACAGCAGGTTGCGTGATACCTATTAAAATTTTTACATATTTCCAATAGCAATGGTTTTAATTAAGAGTTTTAATTACATATTTCCAATGCGTGTCAAGAAGCTAAGTATAGTTACGGCGTCTTTTGAAATGAACGTAGTGTTTCTTCTCTTTTTTGTTGATACCTCTAAACACCAATTCGTGCTTTGGCTACTCACGCCAGGGGCAAAAGTGTGACCTAACGCAAGGGCGCCGAGAAATACGGCAAAAGCAAATACGGTCAAAAAAAAATATTTTTAAAACTATTGGTATTGGAAATATGTAAATTAAATACTAATTACACATTTCCAATACCAATGGTTTTAATTTAGAGGTCGATCAATTGTCTTTAGTACGAGAAAAAATTCACTATACAAACATTTGTGTATCACACATAAAACGATTTTACTCTATTGTACTCAACCAAATCTAAGAAATACCTTCTGACGTTTCACATTAATCATTCCGCAATAACATTGTACAAGCGTACTCACACGATTTAAAATAACCATTTACGTAAATCCGAAGAGTTATGAAGTTATCTATAATTCATTACAATGTGTATAATCATATATCACGAATTTAAATTCGAATCTTTCAAATAAAGCAATATAAAAAAATAATACCAGAATAATCTTTTATGTTTGACGTTGTTTCAATAATATGTCGTTATGCATTTTACCATCGTCTTTTACTGATCAAAATTCATGCTAATGCAAATAATTGGTAAAAATATTGAAATAATCCTTTACATTTTTTAATTTGTTAATGTTTATTTTTAGGTTTGCATAAATTTAAAAACAAAAATATTGTTACGGACAATTATTATGAAAGATACATCTTAAATTATTTTAAATGTATTATAGAAAATCAAATAATAATTAATGTAAACAACGATGGATGGACGGAAGTTCAACTAGTTGTAGTGAAAGTTATAAATTTCATTTTTATCTAGTGCAGTCTCTAATTTATATAACTTTTTCTCTAGAAATAGCAGTAAGCAATAAGGAAAACTAATAAATTTTGTGTTTTGAATTATCTGTTTATAATTTCTTCTGGTATTAATTTAAATAAAACTGTTAATTTATGATTTGCAACTCTAAAAAATCGATATCGATATCTCTTAAAAATCGAATATTGTAGGTACTGATTGTATAGTTGGAATGCCTGGTTCAATAAATGTGACAGCTGTCAAAAGGTATTTCTTAGATATGGTGGACTATAATGAATAAAGATTTGGTTAAAAAAGTTAAAATTACCTCTTGATAAGTGGGATCGTTTTCTTTATCACTATCAAGTGCATCATCGGCTTCTTCATCGTCTTCCAGCTCTGTTAAAAGGGCGGGTGCTCGGCAAGACTCCAAGAAATCTTCTAGTGAAACCTATAACAGAAGTCACTTATGAATATATTAAAATTTATGACGGAAAATCAATCCGAAAACGCTGAGCATATATCACAACACTATTGATGTAGAGCAGCATCACAAGTACAAGATTATCGTCTATGCACTAACCAGCCCAACTGCTCAGCTTGGTAAGTATAGAGCTGTATCTTTAAAAAAAGCCTGTTCGATTCCAAAATGTTGATGTTAGATGATAATATCTATGCACAGTAGTTGACTTAAAAAAGTTCTACTTCTTGTGATGTGTTGATATTTGAAAGGTTGAAATTTAAGAAAGGATATATAACGTTTGTTTCGCAATATGGAAAACAGATATTATAATTATTATGGCCTATAGATATTTGAATCGTTTATTTACCTGTTCACTCTCACTTGAAGTAGAGGTCAACGACAAAGTAAGAGCATTCTGCGCATTGGGCGCCAGTGAGGGATAGCTTTGTGCAGCTGACAACAAGCCTCCAGGAAAATTACTTGACAACGCCAATCGCACCAAACTGCAAACATTAATTAGGATAAAAAATAAAGCAATAAAATAACTATAATAGTTAACTATCTGGTGTAATAATAATGTGTGAACTTTATATTAATTGAAATATACTTTATGAAAGTAAATACTTCCAACGATCAAAAACTGCGATCATAGTTGAGGTCTGTTTCGGAACACATGCTAAAGTAGCAGTGCCTATAACGGCAATCGACGCACACTACTATAATATCGAAACGAGACGAAGTGCGCGAAATCATTTGACACAGGTCCAACCTCGACAACGTTCGCGCAGTAATGAATGTAGATGGCCGATGCAGTAAAATATATGGTACTGTTATTTAATTAAGTTAAAAAAATAGTAACGATTTAAAAGTAAGTATAGTTTAAGCAAATGTTGATGATTATTTTGGTATGAATTTTACGTCAAAATGATGTAGAACTTTGAAGATATTGCGGCTTGTATCGAAGCTTTTACGGTCGTTAATTGAATTATGTCGATTATTTTTTCTTATTCTTTTTATCTTATTTTAAGATAAACATAGTTTTTTTAATGCTCGATATTCAATAGAATCTACAAATTAGAGCTCCCAAATCATGTCTCTCAGAGTATTGGTCTAAACATGCATCGGGAGAACGATTATTACTAATTAAATGAATAAGTTCTCTTAAATTTGCTCTGAGCTTATTTTAGTAGAGAAAACGAACTATTTTTACCAAGTAATTGTTATTTCAAGCAACGAACGAAAAACATATAGTTTCAACAAGGAAACCTTGTAATTTCGCGTGTATTTTCTAATACTTCTCTTAAGCGTTTTACCTACATAGCTGAATTATTTCAGATCACAAGCGGACTTTACCTAATACATTCATATTTTTTGTGTTAATTAAGATAGTTTTTTCATATTAGGCTGAAGTAAAATTTTCCACCACAAAAATGTTCGTTACTTCTGACTTGGATAAAAACTAACAGACGTTTTTCTTGACTCCAAAAAACTGATAGTCTTTCCCCAGCCTACAATTTCTTGGTTATATTTTTGATCCTTCAAATATTTCAGGAAAAAATGTTAGAGCACTTCGATTTTTGCTCAATTATTACTAAACATTTTAAATATCCATTAACGCGATAACTTTGAAAAAAATTTTTTTTACTTCTCAGATTTTTAATGACTTATTTACTTGTAGTGGCAACATTGTGTTTTAACCGAGATGGCGAGAACCTTCACGTATGAACAGTTTTTACGAGTAAGAGAATATTGTGAGGAAGCTATACTTATCGAGATACTAAACAGTGATAGTTTTTACCTCATCTCACCTTAAAAAGAAAATAATATGTCGTTTACTAAGCAGAACGGAGAAAGGTTCGCTGGTTGAATCTGTGAGATAAAATATAGAGATGAAATGGATAGTTGTTAGGCCGGACATCGGATACCGGATATTCGGCGTCTTATCGCCGGATAGCCGGATATTCTGCCGAACATTGCCGTTTGGTGCATCGCAAGAAGCGAAAAATAAAGTCAGTGCAAACTATTCGCGATCGTGACCCTTATATTTGGTGGGCAGGTATTACTACACAATACCCAGATTTATCAAAGTTTGCCACAATCTATCTTTCAGCACCCTACAGCAGTGTATACAGCGAAAAACTTTTTTCTGAAGCTGGCCTTGTTTACGAAGACAGGCGAAACCGCTTGGTTACATTACAATGCAGAGAAATTAATATTTATTCACCATAATTTACCCTAAGCCACGTAGTGCTATTATTTATTCTGTGCCTTAGCGCAGTACAAGTACTAATTTTGAAAGTTTTAAAATAAAAACTTTGTGATTACTGATTATATTGGTTAAGGGACATAAATGAAGTACTTAACTAAATTTGATATTGTGTTTTTTTTAATCCAGTATCCGGCCGGATAGCTGTTTGTTATCCGGTATCCGGCCAGATAGTAATTTCAGGCCGGATCGGCCGAAACATCAGTTTCATCTCTAATAAAATATGTACACACGTAGGTACGTGTAGGAGTAAACGTAGAAGCGTTACATATAGATGTAGATATATAGATAATAGTGTGCGGTGTACCTGGGGAACAGTCCGGCGGAGTGGTTGTGGCGCGCGCTGCGCGGGGCAGCGGGCGCACGCGCTGCGCCGCGTGCCACGCCCAGCGACTCCAGCAGCCGCGCCGCCGCCGCGCCCTGCCCGCACTGACACCACAAACATGCCAGTATGTCAATTACGAACGACACCTCTCTCCACTATCAATTTTTGACTCGGATTGTTTGCTTTGCATATCAAATATTGACTAACTATACTCAACCAAATCTAAGAAATACCTTTTGACTTTACACATTAATCCGCAAAAGTTCGTACAAGCCTACTCACACATATTATGAAGTAATTAATATACCCAATAATTATAAAGTAATATATATTAGAAATGTACGAATACTCGTTTTATATTCATGTGATTCATTTAGTGTGACATTTATGTGAATAGCCTCCTTTATAACATTCCAGTGTGTGACATAACAAACACCTTAACACACGTAACGAACTGGAACAAACACACTCGAAAATTCAAAACTCAACAATGAATACCGGTCAGAAATCATGCGCGATTTACTTAATAAAATTTGACATACACTGGTAATTGACTATAAATTTCGAATCAGGAACCTAGTAAACGATATCTTTGTAATTCTCGCGTAGAATTCACATATACACTGCCGGAATTTGTGCCCTAAATTATGGAATTTACAATTGTTTACGGTCAAGATTACAAATAAAAAAATGTCAAAACTGACATTTGACAGTAAGCCTACGGCGTTGCCTCGTCGAAATCAGTAAAAATGTTGTTTAATGATGAAAACAAAAAATCTACCCCATATCGAATCGGAGTAACACACTGGATAACTTTTGGAGACACAAATTAGAATAAGTTTTTTTTCACACGGCATCTTTATTGATTTCAAAGTAAACTACAATTTTAAAACCATAATGCTATATTATTTCATTTGTTGCATTTTTTCGTCCTGTAAGTTGATAGGAGACAAATAAATTTTGTATGCAGCTTTATTTTGTTGATTCCAAATTATTTTTTATTTTTTATGTTTAAGCCTCTTGAATATTCTGGTTATTTCTACATTATTCTAAACATGATTATCAATGTTTTATTAACTAATGTAATATTATCCTTTTCGTTAGCGTATGGTATTCACAATCAAACATGGGCGCACTCAAAACTTTTAAAAAGTACATATATATATATATATATATATATATATATATATATATATATATATATATATATATGCATATGTGTGTGTGTGTGTGTGTGTGTTTTATAGGATAGGGTGACAAACGAGCACACAGTCCACCTGATGGTAAGTTTGGCCCACCACACCTTTATTCTGATTCCAAATCAAAATCACATAAGTTCTTAACCTGAGATTAAGTTCGAATGCCTCGTTTCCAGTAAAAAGGTCTCCCTTTCTCTACACTCACCATACGAAACACAGCAGCATTAAGGTACTATTTTACGCTGGTATTCTGTGAGAGCGTGGTCCTTCCCCGGTCGGGCCGACCCATTCGTGCTACAACTATACTACTAATATAACTGCAGCATGGCTCTACAACTGTGTGTGTGTGTGTGTGTGTGTGTGTGTGTGTGTGTGTGTGTGTGTGTGTGTGCGTGTGTGTGTGCGTGGTGTGCGTGTGCGCGTGTGTGTGCGTGTGTGCGTGTGTGCGTGGGCGCGTGTGTGTGCGTGTGTGCGTGTGTGGGCGTGCGCGCGTGCGCGCGTTCTGCGCTGTGCGTGGCGCGTGTGCTTGGCGCGTGTGCGTGGGCGCGTGTGCGCGTGTGCGAGTGTGCGTGTGTGCGCGCGCGTGCGTGCGCGTGCTGGCGCGCGTGCGTGCGCGTGTGTGCGCGCGTGCGCGTGTGTGCGCGCGTGCGTGCGCGTGTGTGCGCGTGTGCCTGAACGTGCTTGCGCGTGCGTGCATGTGCGTGCGTGTGCGGTGTGCGTGCGTGCGCGTGCGCGGTGTGTGTGCGTGCGCGTGCGTGTGTGTCGTCCCGTGTGTGCGTGTGTGTGTGTGTGTGTGTGTGTGTGTGTGTGTGTGTGTGTGTGTGTGTGTATGTGTGTGTGTGTGTGTATGTGTGTCTGTATATGTGTAAATATAATGTTGTAATGACACGTGTATATATTTGTGTCATTACATCATTATATATGTTGTGTATGTATTATATATGTCGCTATGTAACTTACAGTAGTGTTTGAATGATTAAATTCATTGTTATGCGAATAATCGTCAATTATTTTATGTATTATCTCTTATTTAAATTTTATTTTTAAATTCCTAAAATTATATGAGACACGAATTTAATTTTTTTATAATTTGCTACTTTGTCAGCACCTAATTCCAATCTCCCGCTATTTCGAGAATTAACTGTATGAAAACTCGAATACAAAGAAACTGATAAATTTGGTACTTTAAAATTATCCGTTTCTAATTTATTCTGCTATTAATCGAAACAAAACTGTAAATGATTACCAATTATAAAGAATAGATATCGTTTTTTTTTAACAACCGATCATTATACGTGCCGATTTTTGGTTGACCATAATAACTCTACAGCTGTCAAACGTTTTCTTAATTTGGTTAGTATAGATATATAGATAATATAGATAGAGTATAAATTTGGTTGACTCCAGAATAGTATATATTATAAATAGTATACATTGGATACCTTCGCACATTAGCTTAGAGGGTAATGAAAAAGCTGATATTTTAGCCAAACAAGCTATTTCGGAAGGCACTGACATTAATAATACCCCTTCATTTCAAAATTATATACCGTTATTTAAAAAAATATTGTTATGATCTCTGGAAGGAATATTTTGACATAAGAGCAAAAGAGAAGGGTATATGGTACCGTACGATCCAGCTGCACCCAGTGCGCTCAACCTGGATAGATAACCGAGTATTGTGTAGACGCGACACTGTAATAGCATTAAGACTCAGATCTGGGCACATTCCATGCAATAAATTTTTATACTTGATGCGAAAAACTACCTCACCAAACTGTTCAACTTGCAATGTTATCGATGATGTTTATCACATTTTGATAGAATATACCCAGAACTCCTTAGAAAGAAAAAAAATGTATTTTACATTTGTCATTGATTGGCAGTATTAGACACGTTATCAGTGATGCCAAAAAACTTTATGTGTTAGTAAATAAGAGATTAAGTAATTAATAAGTTTATTTGTTAGTATTTATCCTATTTAAGAATTTGTAACTACCAGGGCGTCATAATCGCTTCAGCGACAAAGCCCTTTTTCTTAGAATAAAAAAAATAGATAGCCAAAAGTCTGTAAAGTTATAAATAGTTCACAGTTAGAGAGTAAACAAATCAATAGCGTAGCCGTAGCGTGCAAATCGCATCTAGTAAGAACATTTTGTCACTAGATCTGATGACTTGACCACGTGAATTTTTAACTTTTAACAATTTCTAGAGATATTTCAACACCACATACATTACAAGTACAAAATGATGTTTCTGTTAGGCACACAATAATAAGTCTTTACCTATGAAATTGCCGTTCTGCAGTACTGGCCATTTCAAATCAAAATATTTTTTTTTTGGCTAGGAATTTAAAATGATTTCAGTTTAAAAACATGAAATTCTTTTTTTACTACTCCCATTGCATAACACAGGTATAAAAGGTTTTTGTTGTAAGATGTCATATTGAGCTTCCATAAATTTTCATTGATATAATTTTACTAAGTCAGATTAAATGAATTTATCGACAATGTTTTTTGTATCGCTAATGGTACATCAATAGAGGTGTCTATGGAATGGAAAAATGGCAAAAACCTCGTAAAAAAAAGAAGGTGGGAATATTAAAGCTATCTTACTTTATACCATGTTAAACGTCATATGTATAAAGTGTTTGGCAATAAGAATTTTGTCCTTTTTTAAGGATTCCGTCTATGCTAGTAATTATATACATACATATATATATATATATAGTATATATATATATATATATATATATATCATAAGCTAGTGTACTATGCGCATAAAATAAAAAAATTACGAATGTAAAATCGTTAAAACTACATCTAAAATCGTACCTGTTGAGTAAGATCTGGCTCACTAGCGCTCATCGTACCGGTGCCACTGGCTTGGTTGTCCTTCTTGTGATCGCTGAACTGACCTTCACCGCTCTCGCTGTCCTCGCACTATATATGGAGTTACACAAATTAAAATACAATATATGTACTTGTTTGAAAACAATAATGTGAAAAGTATATTTCAAATGAAATAAAAAACAATATAATTTTGCTTTGTGAAAACCGTGAAGGCATTCCACAAATTAACAAGCATGACAATATAGTTATTAAATTTCTATATATTGCCCTCACTAAATTCAGCTTCCTTTATGATGCCATTTGGAGGTAATAAAGGTCAATTACTTTCATGCATTTCTGATCTATAATTTACCACATTATAAAAAATACCTATTAATTGTATTAAGGCTTAATAATTACCTATGATATCAAAATAAACCAATGAAATAATCTTGAAACAGTTTCATACCAGATTAGTCGAAAATAGTGATTTTCTGCGTAGTTTACATATTTTTGATTTCATATCAAATGATCTATAGTATTATAACCAAGTTAACTAATTCATGAATAAATTTTTATCATATTGTTATTTTTATCATATTGAATTAATTGAACATGATTAAATTGTTGACTTATACACATTATTTACAAATCAAATTTTAATGAAACTTGAGTTTGTATTAATAGATGTATGTTATGACAAGCAAAAGTAACCACCCCACAATAAGAACATATATTTTACAAACCCATTTCCTTGTTAGTGAGTGTAATTTAATAATAAAAAAATTAAATGTAATTTAGGAATATATCAAAATTTGTACATACGCTTCGCGTTACTCAGACGACCACTTGCTTCGTCTCATATTTAATGAGCGACAGTAAAAGAACAAAATGTATTTTACCTGTTTATTACTGCATTTATGATTTAAGTCACCCCAAGATAATAAGACAAACATAACAAAGGGTGTAGTAAAATTGTATGATGTGCATTGACAAAATATAAACTCATTATCACTAAGTCTTGCAAGAGATAGAGAGAGAGAGAGAGAGAGAGAGATAGAGAGAGAGAAAGAATATTTATTACATTACACCTCGGAGAAGTGGGAGGAAGAATTTAAATGTATGTGCAGATGAGCATTATAGCATGTAGTGAGAAATATTTCCACACTAAATCTCGTGTTTACCTTTATTAACGCTTAAGCAACAGGCTTGAGGAAAGCCTTAGGGTACACAGTAAGCATTTTAGACAGGTAAGGAAAATTAATTTACGACTAATCTTTTATGTAAGTGTTTACCATTTTGGACTCCTTATCAAATGTAGGTGCATTTTGCTTTTAAAGTTACTTGCCAAACTAGTGTAGTACTTTTTTTCAGTACAGTCATTTTAAACTGGGCAAAATATTAATTTTGAATATTTGGTTGGGAAAAAAATTTCCTTCTGGACTGGAGCAATTGGCTGTAAATTTTAAGCAACAGTTTTCAGAAGCATTATTCAGGATTATCTCATAAGAAGAAAATTAAAAAAAAAAGTTAAAATTTGTAGCAACAGAACTAAGATCTGTCTGTAATTTTTAGAATACATAGCAAAGACTTTTTTATATTATACTGTTAACTATTATGACTTGACCTATTATCACCCGATTTCGGCATGACTTCTGGGACAACCTGTATGTATATATATACACAAATGGGAGCATTGTTGCGTATTGTATTGCAAGCAACACTACCACAGCACATCTCGTAAGGGAGGGACAAAGCATTACCTGTATGCGCAGGCGGTTAGCATTATTGCGCAACGTGTGCAGCATTGCCGGCAAAGGGAGCAACTCGCTGGACAACAGAGCGTTGGTGCTGTTGCGCACCGCGTCATCGTCGTTGCTTTGCGCCTCGCTCTCCTGTGAGTGCAACACCGCGCGAGGAATAGATCATGTGAAATAGCGTTAGCACCACACCCATATTCAGTTTCATTATATGATTTTATAAAATATGGTATAAATATCAATTGCACCCGAAAACACAAGTAAATTACTATGCAATTACTTTAAATGAGGGTTAGAATTTCGTGAACAAATGTGAATAATTATTATAAGTACGTAAAGTATTATAATAAATAAATACAACTTGATATAATGAACAAAACTAACATTTTGTAGTACAAATTAGTACAGTATAAAACTTCAAGCATTTTACAAATAATAAATAATGATATTAGTTAGTATAAAGCAATGTGATGTGAAATGAATAATTACAAATACCTACTATAAGGAAATTAATTAGGATACACTTATAAAATTATATATAGATTATTAACAAACCTCTTGTATGTTAGCTTCCGGGAGCGGTTCTTTAGCGGGATATGGTTTCGTTATATCGGTTATACTGGCCGGGCCCATTTCCATATTTGCAAATGACGCACTTCCTAAGTCTGCTAAACAATTGTTGCCTTCCGCTCCAAGTGTTAGTGATTCTACTATAGTGGCGAGATCTAAAAACACATTAATAAAGCCTATGTAAAATCTATATAGAACAAATATAATATAACAACAATATGATTAAAGCATATATATACAAGTAAAGCATTAAGAATTTGAAAAATACAAATTAAATAGTACCTGTATTAATGTGGTGTGTGGAGTTATTAATAGCAGATACATCTTCAGTGGCATGTATTCGTGGGCGCGTCATATTGCTAGTCATTTCCTCACTTGATATGTTGTCCGCGGAGGCAGCCTGCTCCGTCGAGGCTACAGATACCTGATGAATTTAATTCGTTTTATTTTATTATCACTAAGCACAATTAGAACATGAGAGATATCATCGGAGTTTATACCGATAATAAAATGGAGTGAAACAAAATCAAAAATATGAAACATGTTTTTGCGAAATTGTATTTGGTTCGGGAAATTGTAGCGAGTGAATCATTGAAGGTTACTAAGAGTCCATTAGAAGGAACAAGCCGATAGTCTGTGTTTTTCTAAGAAGTAACGGCGTTATTGTATTGTACAAAATATAAATATTAAAATATCAAATCGAGAAACATGAAATAATACTTACAGGCTAAGCCAAGTATACTTTCTTTAATCTTTTACGTTAATAGAAAAATATATAAATACATCAATGCAAGTTTTATGGCTCTTTATTGGCCTGCATACCTATTTGTAGAAAAACAACTTAAACTTCTAACGTCTAACCCTGCTTTACGGTTACGTACAAAACGATCAAAATAGCTTTCTGTCGTCGTCTTATATATTTTTAGGTGAGCAAAAGGTCTAAATGTTTTAGTACATAAAAAAAACTAGATTCTGCAATTAATACAGTAAACTGTGAAGTAATGCACCACCACTTGTTTGATCAATGTCTTTAAAAAGTTACAGAAAAAGGACGAAAAATCACATTATATTGCTTTGGCGCACACCGCGAACAAGGCCTCGTGGCCCATTGCGCACACAGTCTTATTATTATACTTCATTTGCCCAAAAATCAAAGATTTGATGACAGGTTCGACAGTGGTAGAGTCACGAGGCAACTTTGCTGTTGCACGTATGGGCCGGCTCAAACCGAGGTGGCACCACGACCTCACAGAATACCGGCGTGAAGTGGAAGCTCTGCTTCCACGTTTCGTCTGGTGAGTGCAGGTGGTCGGAGGCACAAATCCCCCCCCCCCCCTCCATCAACATGGTAGCGGAATTAAATTTGAGACTACCCCAGGAGGGTACCAGCACCCCTGGAGAATCCCTCGCTGAGCATCCACGACCAAGTTACACCACTCCTGAGCGTGGGTGCTCAGGCTGCCCCGCGTATTCTGGGGGGGGGGGGGGCAAAATTCCGCTCAAGAACAACTGCTCGGGGCAAACGGAGCAACAAGACCAAGACGACCCCTGCCACGCTATCCGTGAATTTCTGCAATATCAGGGGACTTCACTCTAACCTAAACCCTGTCCACTACTATCTCGAGACGGCGAGACCGGCTCTGCTCTTTCTGACCGAGACGCAGGTGTCCTCTCCGGCTGATGTCTCTCGTTCTGAAATCGCGGTTGCCGCCGTGTTTGGCACTATAGATCAGCCGACTGGGATGGGATGAGGTCTTTCTTTGCATCCTACCCTTGGGGGCGGGTTTGCTTCTCGCCGGACGATCCCAACGTTGTTGCGGATTCTGTCGCTGATGTGGTACTTCAGGGTATGGAACTTTTTATTCCTTCCTCTGTGGTGCCCATTGGAGGCAAATCTCAGCCATGGTTTGGTCGCTCCTGTAAAATAGCATCATGCTATAAGCAGGAGTACTACCAAGCCTGGGCTGCCGCATCAACATCCCGGGATGTAAACACCAGCGCTCTAAAAAAGAAGTATAATTCCGCCTCTAGGTCCTTCAAAAGAGTCATTGCCAAGACAAAGTCAGAGCACATAGGCAGAATTGGCGAGAAACTAGATCACCTTCCTTCTGGAACCCGTGCATTCTAGTCTCTCGCCAAGGCTGTCCAGGGTACTTTCTGTCAGCCATCTCTTCCATCTCTGCACAGGGAAGACGACTCACTGGCCCATACCGCAAAGGAGAAAGCCGATCCGCTAGGCTCTTTCTTTGCGTCCAACTCGACTCTTGATGACTGGGGGAGTACGCCGCCCTGTGCTGTGCTGTGCGGTGTGAGTGCTCCATGCCGGAAGTGCAGTTTACACAGCGCTCGGTTCGCAAAGCACTCCTCTCCCTGGACATCCACAAGTCGAGTGGGCCTGACGGAATCCCCCCAATTGTGCAGAGGACGTGTGCTCCTGAGTTGGCACCGGTTTTAACGCGCCTTTTCCGGTACTCCTACTCCCTAGGCGTAGTCCCAAAATCATGGAAGACGGCTTTCGTCCACCCGATCCCTAAAAAAGGCGACCGCTCAGACCCGTCCAACTACCGGCCTATCGCCTCCACCTCCTTGTTCTCCAAAACAATGGAGTCTATTGTTAACTGACAGCTCATGAGGTACCTTGAGGATCAACAGCTGACTAGTGACCACCAATACGGTTTTCGCCGTGGTCGATCAGCTGGTGATCTTCTGGTCTACCTAACTCATAGATAGGTGGAGGCAGTAGAGTCGAAAGGGGAGGCATTGGCCGTTAATTTGGACATTGCGAAGGCCTTCGATCGTGTTTGGCACAAAGCGCTTCTTTCAAAGCTCCCTTCCTATGGGCTTCCCGAGAAATTGTGCGATTGGATCACCAGTTTTCTTGCAGATCGGAGCATCAAGGTCGTTGTAGACGGTGCAAGCTCCGATTACAAGCCTATTAATGCTGGTGTACCACAAGGCTGCGTGCTATCGCCAACGCTGTTTCTTCTGCATATCAATGATATGTTGCAAACCCGTAACATTCATTGCTATGCAGATGACAGCACTGGTGATGCTCTGTACACCGGCCGTGCCAATATTTCTCGGGAAAACGTCTCCGACTACCGGGACAAACTTGTGTCTGAAGTCGAGTCTTTGCTGAACAGAGTCTCGGATTGGGGGCGACTAAATCTAGTCCAGTTTAACCTCCAGAAGACACAAAAAAGAACCCCTTTGTCATATCTCCCCAGTTTCAAGGCACTCCCTTTGTTGCTTCAGCCAGTATCAGTATCCTTGGCGTCGACATATCGAGTGACGTGCAGTTTCGTGGTCACTTGGAAGAGAAGGCCAAATTGGCCTCTAATAAGCTTGGCGTGCTCAGAAAAGCGGGAAAGTATTTCATGCCGGCACACCGCCTGCAACTTTACAAGACGCAGGTTCGGCCGCACATGAAATACTGTTCCCATCTCTGGGCTGGGGCTCCTCAGTACCAGCTCCTTCCACTTGACTGCATCCAGCGCAGAGCGGCTCGAATCGTCGACGACCGAGTGCTTTCCGATCGGCTCGATTCACTGGCGCTGCGAAGAGATGTTGCATCTCTTTGCATTTTCTTTCGCATATAACATGGGGAGTGCTCTGAGGAATTGTTCGGATTAATCCCAACCGCCAAATTTCGTGAACGCACTACGCGGAAAAACGTCCCGATACTATCCACACCATCTGGGTGCTTGGCAGTCCACCACTGTACGTTTCACAAGGATTTTTCTTCCGCGTACGACCTCTCTGTGGAATAGTTTACCACCGACGATTTTTCCGGCCCGATACGACCTGGGGACCTTCAAGAAAAGAGCTTACTCCTTTCTAAAAGGCCGGCAACGCACCTGCAATTCCGCTGGTGTTGCGGTTGATAATGGGCGGCGGTAGTCACCTAACATCAGGTGAGCAGCATGCTAATTTGCCCCCACTTCTATAAAAAAAAATACAAAGGCAGAAGAAGCCGTGATAGCATTCAACCAGCACGTGAAAAACACTCTCAGACCAATAGTCACTATGTTTTCAAAAACGGTTTGAATAAATGAAAAATTGTTCGAAAGTAATGGAGAAAAATTATATATTGTTGATAAATATTGTGCGCGCCATAATTAATGCCTCGTACATGGCGGGTTATTATTAGCGCCATCTAGTATCAAGTAGCAGCAATAGGATCGTCAAGATCTTTCTTGAAAATTCACTAGCGCCTTCTAGTATGGAGTAGCTGAACTAGGAGAGCTTTCTAGAAAATTAGATGCTAAAACTTTCCCCATTCTACTCGAACATTCTAGATGTTTCAGTAGAAAAGCTCCTAAATAATGCCTCATACATACATAACGATTTATCGTAGCGATAAATCTGTGCAGACCAGTTTGCGCAGTTTTATCGATCGAGTGTATGAAAAATCGTTGTCGATAATCATTCGTCGGTGGCCGTTGCAATTTCTATCAGATAAATCGTTGGATTGATTACATTTGCACAGTTTTATCGTTGCGTGTGGACGGCGATCGCTCAGTTCGGCAATACTTCACGGAGCTTGCTAGTGTTCGCACGTGCACATCGCCTTCACAGAAACATGTCGGAAGACGAAAGAGTTGGACACCGCGAACTACTTCAAGATTTTATAGAAATCTACAGAAACGAAACTTGCCTTTGAAAGACTACATGTAAGGATTACCACGACCGCAACAAAAAAATGCCGCCTACGACATGCTAATCGAAAAATACAAACCCATAGATCCAAATGCCACCAGGGATACTGTGATTAAGAAAAATAATAATCTTCAAACTGCATATAAAAAAGAGCTCAATAAAATAACAAAATCGTGTAAATCTGGAGCAGGGACTGACGAGATTTATAAACCTCGTGTATGGTACTTTTAGTTATTGAGTTTTTTATACGATCAAGAAGTACAGAGACCATCTACATCGAATATAGATGATGACTAAAATGAGGTGTTTTTATTTCTGAAAAAATATTTATTGCTTAATTATATTACTCGAATACAAATCCTGTATTTTGACATTAATGAACAAAATTGTCTTGCCAAGGAACTTTCCCTTCAGTTACAAAATACGCCATAAATTGACTTCTTATCTGATTCGCTGTTTGAATTGTACGGCCTTGTGTGTTCTCCTTGGAGTCCTTTGTTGTGAATCCTGACGTTATTGTACCTTCCTCATAGTATTCACTATCGAAACATTCTGAAGGAACGTATGAATTAAGCGGTGATGACATCAAATAAGTATGCAAAGCACAGGTTGCTCTTATGACTGACCCAATAGTTTCAGGCGACATATTCATTTGTGTTCTGTAAATTCTGAACCTCGCCGCTAGTATACCAAAAGCGTTTTCGACTATACGGCGCTCTCGCAATGTCCGTAAGGAAACGCGTCATCAGCTACAAATACATATGGCAGTATTCGTGGACTATTATGTAACCTTTCTTCTGTAGGAATATTTAACGCCTTTTTTTCAAGTTTTTCATAAAATTTTGTATTCAACAATACTCCGCTATCGGAAACCCTTCCATTTGTCCCAAAATCAACTAACAGGAATCTGTATTTTCCATCAACGATTGCTAGTAATACCATACTGTGTCTATGTTTATAGTTATAATAAAACGAGCCACCGTTACTTGGGGGCACAATTTCAACGTGCTTGCCATCAATAGCACCTAAACAGTGAGGAAAGTTCCACTTCTGCTCAAATTCTCTCGCTATTATTCTCCACTCTTCTTCTGTTTTTGGAAACTATAACAAAATGAGTACCTGATTAGTATAGTAATTTCAGGAATATAATAGTTCTTCTATTTTACAGACGCAGTCAACCACCGCATCGGCTCAACGAGCTACGATTGTCCAGACAGCGATCGAGACACACCAAAACTGGCCTATTCCGACAACGAATCAGACACACCGACCCCGGCAAACTGTTCTGACAGCGAACAAGCTATATCAATCTCAGGTCGTGTTCGGCCAAGACCAAAAAAAAATACATTAACTGAAGACGTACTTGAGTCTGCAAATGATCATTTTAAAAGGCCTAAAGAACCCAATAATCGTTTTGAGGTTTTTGGCAAAAATGTTGGGATGAAACTACAAGAGTTACGAGAGGAACAGAGAATTATAGCAGAAAAAATAATTAATGAAACTCTGTTCTTGGCTGAAATGTGTTGCTTAACTATATCACACACTGTAAGAAAATACGATGACTGCAAATACTAGTTTTTCCACACAGCCACACATTCAAAACTTTTCCTCTCAGCCACACATACAAAACCTTTCCACTCAGCCACAAATTCAAAACCTTTCCACTAAGTCACACACTCAGTCACACACTCAAGTCATTTACACTCACACACACCAAAATCTTTTCACTCAACCACACACTCAAATCATTTACACTCAACCACACACTCAATCATCAATGGAATTTACATCACCAGTAGAGCCAGACCATAGACAATCTGATAATACAATTACTTCCTATTTACGTAATTTTAATGATGAATAAAAAAGTAACTTATTCGTAAAATGTTCTTCAATACGTCCTAAAAGTTCAATTAATAAATAATTTGTTGATTAATACAGTCTTTTTCATTCCTTACCTTTAAGTAATCTTTCCGTAGAACCTCGTACAGAGCATCACAGGTTTCAGGGATTATTTGGCTAAGAGCTTGCGGTGATATTATTGTAGAAAACTTCATACATTGGTAGGAACGTCCTGTAGCTAGAAATCGCAGTGTAGCAGTTAATCTTTCATGAGGACTTATAGCTTCTCTCATTACAGTATCTTGTTTCTTTATTAGTGGAGAAACTAAAGCTAGCAGATTTCAATATGCCTCTTCATTCATCCTTAAATAGTTATGCCAATCTTGCGGAGCGAATTTCAACTCAGATAACAAGTTGGTATGAGAAAATTACTTCCTTATCATAAGCCAGTCTTTACACCATAGACTTCGCTTCTTTTTTTCTTTAAACACATAACCAGGCCTAATATAGCAAGTGCGTCATAATCTTCCATTATTAACATGTATCTTGCGCGAGCTTCTGCGGAGAACTGCCCGATCGACGTCGATATCGGAGGCGTGTGGAGGAGGCACTAGGAACGTTCCATTTAACTGCGCAGTTTGAAATCGCTACGATATATCGTTATGTGTGTAGCAGGCATAAGACTAATTTTGACCGCGACCCGAGGCAGAATTGAATTGGCAATACAAGCGAAGATTTCGTAGCGAAATAAAGTGAACTAAAGTGTTAAGTGTGATTAATTATTAGTGTATTTTAAGTTTTAATTGGTGTTCGGTAGTTAAAGTGTCAATTTTGGTGATTCAATCGGTAGTTTTTACTGTCACGAGCCCGTAACAACATGTCAGTTTACATATAAATTGTTTTATTTATGAGTAACGCAAAACTTTCAGTGTAACCCACGTAGTGTAGCGTGCACGTGCGTACCTGGTGGTCGACGGCGGTGGCGTCGGGCAGGCTCGGTGTGGAGTGACTCTTGCGGCCGGCGCCTGCCGTGCTCCCCGCCCCCGCGTTCCCCGCACCCGCACCGCCACTCACTACCTTCAGGTCAAACTTGCCCTCTGCCCCCATGCGGTACGAGTTGCGCCCGCCGTGATCCCACCTGCCATTGCACGTACTTTATGTGAATTACAAACGATCCGTCTCTCCTCTATGGAATTAAGAGTTGGATTGTTTGCGTTGCTTATTAAATATTAACTAGCTAAAACTCGTTAAACCAAAAGCTATTAAGTTAATAGTTCACCAGTCAGTTAAAGTGTATTCAATATGTCCATTGATCATGAACCACCACTGCTGGACATCGCCCTTCTAAAAGTGTGCGAGCTGACATGCGTTACATATGGCAAATGTTCATTTTGTAATTTTACACATACATTAATTTATTCTCATATACCAAATTTCTGATTTTCATCCATTATTATTTTATTCTTATTCATTATAGTTATCAACCACCTTTCTTCCTCGTAGTTTGATTCATAACGATATTAGATACCACGCTTAGAAGGCAGATTGGCTAACTGCTGTTTAAAAAAAATATTTTCAGTTGTTATCACAAAGATGCTGCTGCACATCGCCTGTTTCAGTTTCACCGTGTCACCTCTTACAACACCCACGAAATAATATGAGGTATTTGAATCTCTTAAGTGGCCACTGGACGGTAATATTACACAAAATCATTAATTTTAGTTAAGTACAAATAAGTCCGTAGCCGCGATCGCTCCAATCAGGGACGGAGCGGCGCTCACCTGACGTCGACCCAGCCGTTATGAAGGTCGGAGGTGACGGTGCCCATGGCGGGCTGCGAGCCGTCTTGGTCGCGCCACTTCCAGTCGGGGCCGCGCAGCACGCGCGCGCCCACGCACAGCGCGCGGGCGCCGCGCGACCAGCGCCGGGAGCGCGCGCCCCCCGCACCCGCCCCCGCGCCCGCCCCCACCACCGCAACGCCGCAGCTTGCACCGCCGCCGCACTGCCGCGGCGGACTCTCCACTACGCTCACAACCTATTATAACATTTTAATTTATTATAATGATACAGTATAAATATTATGTTAAATAGTTTTAGCACCAGCAGCAAAATAGAATCACAACTTATATTTATAAGCTTTATAAGTTGTAAGGCATTCTGTCTGAAGACATCCTTTGCCTTCTAAATTTAAAGTTGTACTGTAGTTGTGTTGTTGTTGTAGTACAGTTGCAGAGTTTGCTATGAGTTTCTCGTCCTAATAAACTTAGAAATGAGGATATCCACAGTAGAACCAGTGTCCGACATAGCCCAACGGATTGGAAAGCTGAGGTAACAATGGGCCGGCCAAATAGCTGGAAGAACCGACAACTATCGGGGAAAAATGTTCTCGAGTGCCAGCCTCATACCAGTAGGCGAAGTATAGGGCGACCCTCCACTAGATGAAGTGACGGCCTGGTAAGACATGCAGGAAGTCAATGGATGCAGGTGGTTCAGAACCGCGATTTGTGGTATTCCTTGGAGTGGGCCTATCTCTAGCAGTGGACTTGTGAAGGGCTACAATGATGATGATGATGACAGTTGCAGATGTTCATGTGCTACAGTAGCCACTTACCATTAAGCGGACTATCTTTAGCGATAGTAGCCAGTTTTAAGTGAATTGCTAATAACAAAGCATTCTAATTAACTCAAATGAAATGAAAACGCATCTGCATTCTGATTTTAACCAAGAACTCTCTTGTTTATTTAAAATTTATTGACACACATTGCACTTTGTCTCATTAATTTATACTTTATTATACACTTGGCATTTGATTTGAGGACTACAAAGGCTAACGCCTTTTGGCATTCTCTTCCAGTGAATCCGGGACGTGTGTAAAATAATATGATAGGTGACAAAAATAAAATGAAAATTATAGTAATTCAGAAAAGTAACCGATTATTAAAACATGTAAAGTTAGTTCAATAATAGGCTACTTAAGTCCCTTGTATCGTAATGTACTAATATGCACTAATATGTACTAATATATATATATATATATATATATATATATATATATATAATTAAAAAATAAATGTAATCCCTTGAATTTGCAGCACACTTTAGTACAAAATTCATGTGGCTATAGCGACTTTGGATGTAACGCCAAGTTCGGGTGTAGCGAAGTGTCAGCAAGTGTAGAGACCTTTACCTATTGTTTATAGATATCAGCTAAGTAGGTAGGGTAGTGAAGCGTGAACGTTTCGGAGTTAAATATATGGTTCAATTAACATTTTGAAATGTATCAGTGAATAATTATGTGTGCAAGTATTTTCAATAATAAATAAATATAAACTATGTACAAGTGTACGTGTCTGTATCTCTTTACCTTTACCTGTAACGACTTCCGGATATAACGGTGGTCCCTTCATCGTCGTTATACCCGAAATCCACTGTATATATATATATCACGAAATTTTACTCCCTTTCAACACGAATAGCAATAATTCACTATTTACATTAGATGCATAGATGAATAACACTAATTTGAAATCGGCTTTATGCACATATTAATTTTAAATTATTGGTGACTTGTGTTGTAATACGTTTTTTTTATATTATGGTTGCTTAAACTTAATAAAATGTATATTTTGTACAAATTTTTCATTAAAACAATAATTTAAGTATTTTTTGAAAAAGCCGTGTAATTGCAGTCATAATATTATTTATTGCTTATCTATCAGCTCGGAAAACGAAAGCTTACAATGAAAAACTGATGGAATTCATTAATTTGTGATCATGGTGTGTGTGTAATCATTTAATATAAAATATCGATATTATTTTTGAAAAAAAAACATATTTTCGGTACAATTTGTATTTTTTTATTTGTATTAACTTCCCAGTGGGAAGTTATTGTAATGGGTCCGATTTTGCAAATTGTAAATTTTAACATATCTCCACGTTCCAGAGCCGTTGTAGCTCAGATGGTTATCGCTCGCTGTAAATTTCAAAATAAGCGAACAAACCGGGTTCGATCCCCGCCGGCACCAATGAAATTGTTAATCGCAATTTTAAGTGCTGATTTATCACGTGCTCGGCGGTGAAGGAAAACATTGTGAGGAAACCCGCATGTCTGTGATATAAGAAAAAAAATTCGAAGACATGTGCGGCGGACACTTCCTTGCCCTAATACCTCCTCAGAATTGAGGGAAGGCCTGTGCCCAGCAGTGGGAGGTATATAGGCTGTAACTTTAACTCCATGTTTCAAGGTCTTTAGAGTCTAATTGTATGGTTTTTAAGAGGATGTCCGTGTGTGCACATGTACGTATGCATGTATGTATGTATGTTCGGATTCAATTTTCGCCTCGTGTATCTCGAGAACAAAGAGTGATATTGACATGGGACCAGTTTCATTTAACGCATACTTATGTAATTCAGACCTCAGGATTCGTACCATTTTGTGAGTGAGATAAAAGACCTACATCTCGCTAACAATGAAACTATGGTCAGTTTTGATGTTCAGTCACTATTTACATACCTACCTATTGTGAACTGCATCTCAATTGTAACTAGGAAGCTAGAAGAAAATAACATGCCTCAAGAATATGCAATACTACTTGAACATTGCCTCACATCTGGCTATCTATTGTGGAAGGAGGAGTTCTACAAGCAAGTAGATGGTGTGGCGATGGGCTCACCTGTGTCTCCCATAGTCGTCGACATATTATTCACGGAGGACTTTGAGGAGTAAGCCCTTCTTACTGCTCCTGTAAATCCAAGGTTCTACAAGCGGTACGTAGACGACACTTTCACAATTTTACCATCTGACAAAGTAACTGCGTTTTTAGACCACCTTAACTCCATAAACTCTAAAATACAATTCACAATGGAGTTAGAGACAAATAATACTTTAGCCTTCCTAGATGTTTTAGTCATCCGAAATCCTGATAACACTATTGGTCACACTGTGTATAGGAAAAAGACCCATACCAACCGATATCTAAATGGTGAATCTCACCATCATCCTTCACAGTTAGCTACCGTGGGTAAATCTTTGTTTCAAAGAGCACGAGGGATCTGTGACAGAAAACATCTGGCCGCGGAGCTTCAGCACGTCAAGCAAGTATTGCAAGACAACAAGCTTCGGGTCCCGCGCCTACGTCACAGTGAACGAGTGAAGCCGGCCATAGCCGAGCGCGCGCCTGCTCTACTACCATATGTCAGAGGAGTCACGGACAAGATTGGCTACATCTTGAAGCGAGCGTCCATTAAGATATATTACAAGCCGCTGAAGAAGATTAGTCAATTTTTACCATCCATCAAATGTAATATTCCTCTACAAGATGCAGGTGTACAAGATAGATTGTGAATGTGGTCTCTCTTACATAGGTCAAACAAAAAGATCTATAAAAACCCGCTCGAAGGAACATATAGCTGATGTGAAGCACCGACGCTCCGGGAAGTCTACAGTCTGCGAACATGTTCAAGATCGTCCCCACCATTACATTAGATTTGATAAACCACAAATTCTCGCAAAAGAACACCGATTTCTACCAAGAATGATACGCGAGGCTATTGAAATTAAAAAACATCCAAATTTCAATAGAGAAGATGGTTGGGTGCTACCATCTGCTTGGGATCCTATAATTAACAAAATTAAACCCAAACCCAAGCATACCACTGCAAGACTTCATGATACTATAAGCTCGTTTTGCGTAAATCGGACCAAAAATTAATATTAAAAAAAACCGAAGGTAGCCGGACTAACTATGACATTGGGACGTCAAACATCTCAGTCCCCCCCGTGACCATGGGTGCTGTAAAGCAGCTGAAACGTCGAGATAATAATAAAAATAAATTAAAGTAATTAAACGCGATAAAATCCGTAAATAATAGTTTTATTCAATGTGTAGTGTTCGCGTAAATTTAAGAAATCATTATGTGAACCAAGTACGGACTGGTAATGGCAAATAAAATTCGCCGAGAAGATCTTAAAACCAAGCGCGCAAGATACATAACATCTTTAAATTTCTTGAAGAGATGCAGAGACCATAATCTCATTCCTACGTGTGTCAAAATATCAACAAAGAAGGACATTCGAAGAAGCGCTAAGATCTTAAATCAGGCAAGTAAAAAAGTTGTTACGGACGGTGATTCAGTAGAAACGGTTCGATTTACATTTCATAAACAACACCATATACAATTTGTCCAGTGAACTAAAGACAATTTTAACGACATTTGATTTTAATAATTGCATCGAAACTTTAAACAAACGAGAAACATCGAAATACAATGAATGCAAAAATAAACAAATAGAAAAATACCAAAAATTAACGATCAAATCAAATGCCAAACATCCAAGTCAACGTCAGAACAATAAACAACCGTTGACTATAGACACAAACTATAAACAACGCACTGTCTATAATTTGTCAAAACATACACTGGACGAACCGACAATGAAAGTATTAGCGAAGGGAATGAACTTTGCATTAACTCCGCGAAAAATCCCGTACGAAGAAATTATCTGCAGTGTTGAGGATTGTCTGTTTAAGAATAATATCGGTAAGGAAGATTTGGAGGCCATACGTCAAGATATTTCGTCCTTGTTACGTCGTAGTTCAGTGCCGAAACCAAACCTTCCCAAAGACGAATTTACAGCGCTAAATAACTTACGGAACAGACCAGAACTCCCCATTCACCGCGCGGATAAAGGAAATGCTACGGTAGTAATGGACGCGTCGGAATATAATTTTAAAATACAACAACTTTTATCGGACGAAAGTACATATAAAAAAGTCAAAACAGACCCTACAACTAACACGCTTAAAACAACTAGCGATTTAATAAAGAAATACTCCGAAAAATTAAATCTCACACAATTCACTAATACCATCATGTGCCAAACCACCGAGGTTGTATGGGTTACCGAAGATACACAAACCAAACGCTCCACTACGTCCCATAGTGAGCCAGATCGATTCACCAACTTATAATCGGGCACAATACTTAGCAAAAATACTATCACCACTGAGAGGACATACCAGAGCACACACAAAGGATTCGTACCATTTTGTGAGTGAAATAAAAGACCTACATCTCGCTAACAATGAAACTATGGTCAGTTTTGATGTTCAGTCACTATTTACATACCTACCTATTGTGGACTGCATCTCAATTGTAACTAGGAAGCTAGAAGAAAATAACATGCCCCAAGAATATGCAATACTACTTGAACATTGCCTCACATCTGGCTATCTATTGTGGAAGGAGGAGTTCTACAAGCAAGTAGATGGTGTGGCGATGGGCTCACCTGTCTCCCATAGTCGCCGACATATTCATGGAGGACTTTGAGAAAAGCCCTTCTTACTGCTCCTGTAAATCCAAGGTTCTACAAGCGGTACGTAGACGACACTTTCACAATTTTACCATCTGACAAAGTAACTGCATTTTTAGACCACCTTAACTCCATAAACTCTAAAATACAATTCACAATGGAGTTAGAGGCAAATAATTCTTTAGCTTTTCTATATGTTTTAGTCATCCGAAGTCCTGATAACCCTATTGGTTATACTGTGTACAGGAAAAAGACACATACCAACCGATATTGAAACGGTGAATCTCACCACCATTATTCACAGTTAGCTACCGTGGGTAAATCTTTGTTTCAGAGAGCACGAGGGATCTGTGACAGAAAACATCTGGCCGCGGAGCTTCAGCACGTCAAGCAAGTATTGCAAGACAACAAGCTTCGGGTCCCGCACCTACGTCACAGTGAACGAGTGAAGCCGGCCATAGCCGAGCGCGCGCCTGCTCTACTACCATATGTCAGAGGAGTCACGGACAAGATTGGCTACATCATGAAGCGAGCGTCCATTAAGACATACTACAAGCCGCTGAAGAAGATTAGTCAATTTTTACCATCCATCAAATGTAATATTCCTCTATAAGATGCAGGTGTGTTACAAGCTAGATTGTGAATGTGGTCTCTCTTACATAGGTCAAACAAAGACATCTATAAAAACCCGCGTGAAGGAACATATAGCTGATGTGAAGCACCGACGCTCCGGGAAGTCTGCAGTCTGCGAACATGTTCAAGATCGTCCCCACCATTACATTAGATTTGATAAACCACAAATTCTCGCAAAAGAACACCGATTTCTACCAAGGATGATACGCTAGGCTATTGAAATTAAAAAACATCCAAATTTCAATAGAGAAGATGGTTGGGTGCTACCATCTGCTTGGGATCCTATAATTAACAAAATTAAACCCAAACCCAAGCATACCACTGCAAGACTTCATGATATTATAAGCTCTATATATAGAATAGTTTTATTTAATTCAGACCTCATTAAATTTTGAGCAAAATTAATTTTTTGTGCCAAATGAAAAATTGTGTAAAATATTAAAACATATGATATTATTTTATTATTTTCACTGGGAAGTTAGTCGTGTGGACCTTTCGGGTCGCACCTAGACCGCTTTTTTTTCTGAATGGCCATTAGTTCTACCAAGACCCATTTTGAAGGCTAATCATTAAATACCGGACACCGTTTTCATATACTTTAACTTCCATAAAGGATACAATGGACGTGGCGTGGTGTGTGGTGTGTGGCGAATGTTCACCTTGCCGTAGAGCTCGAGCCCGGAGAGCGAGAGGTAGTGGCTCTGGCCGCTGGCGTTCTTGCCGTTCTGCTGCACGCGCAGGTAGCGGTAGGACGTGTCGGCGCGCAGGCGCCACGTGGCCGTGCTGCCCGGCTCCTGCAGCGCCTGCTCGTCGCTGTGCGCCGCCAGCGTGCTCCACGCCACGCCGTCCGCCGACATCTGCGCAAACACACTGCACACTCACTACTGTCACGCACACAATCATTGCACCCTATCAAAAATCAACTGCTGAACATAGACCTGCCCGATACACTACATAGGAGGTTATTTGCCACAGGTGCCACATTTGGCAGGCAGGTTAACGACCACAGTTTTCTTATTTCAGTAATTTTTTCAACAATGATATTAACATTACTAATATTCCCTTTAATCACTCCTGGTAAGCTTAAAATGCTAGTGTTAAGAATGATTTACGACAGTAGTCGAAGAGCGGTTTCGAACCCACAACCTATGAGTTCACGGTCCGCACCTTACTTTCACTTAGGCTACTGTCACCTATAATTTATTTTCACTTTGTTGACAGTAATAAATATTGCATGTTATTATGTTATTTAAATAAATATATAACCTAAATAAACATAGAAACCTAACTGAAAAGATTATGTCGGAAATAGTTTTGCAACAAGCTTCGTATATTGTAGTAAGTCCAAAACACTTTTTGAACATGAGAATCTGGGATAAGTATTTTAAGAAATGTTTCAAATATATTCAAAATAATAAACAGCTCCAAATAAGAATAACTAAGCATTTACATTATCGAGAGTAAGTTGTAAGAAACTACATTACATACATTTAATAACTATACGCATTATACGCAATATATTACTTTAATCATTAATATACGCCATTGACTGCCTAGTTGGTCTAGTGGTTGTAGTAGTGCGACTGCTGATCATGAGGTCCTGGGTTCGAATCCTGGGTCGAGCCAAAAAAATCAATTATTGAGTTTTTCCGTCAAGAAATTCTCAGAAGCTGCCCGGAGTCACGAAGTTGGCGGTGTCTCACCCCCGTGCCTCGGAAAGCACGTAAAGCCGTTGGTCCTGCGCTTGATCTCTCTCCGGTCGTGTCGGTTTACCGTCCCATCGGATTATGAGCATGAGGGAACAGAGAGTGCACCTGTGCTTGCGCATACACTTGGGCACTATAATACTGTCCTGCGCCGATGGCTAGCCTCCGTTGAGGCTGGCCGCCGTGGCCTAAATTCGGTCTGGAGGACATTATTATTATTATTATTATTATTATATACGCCATTACTTTCGTCGCATCTTCAATAAAAAGTAAATCGCATCTTTTAAAAAACCCTGACACACACAATCACGCGAAACTGACCGTAAACGCAATTACGCGCTCGCGTTATTAAATAGCCTTATTATAATTTAGACTTTTCATGTGCATAATTTCCAGTAAAATTAGAGTAGTTTAAGAATATATTAAGCTCTAGTGAATGTAAAAACTATGTTAAGTTGTTTAATAAACGTAAGGACTTACTTGAAACAGCCAATTTCTAAGCGCCGAACGGCCATATCCTCGTGCGTGGCGTAAAGTATAAGCAGAAGGTACAATATGTAATCCTAAATCCAGCGCGATGAACGCTCTTCTATCGTCATTCGTATGGACATTTAAGGGTTCAGGGGAGCGGCTTAAAGCGTCTTCAGCACGCCCGTAAGGCAATTGGCGACCATCGGACGACCACACACTGACCAGGCCATGAGCACCCGGGTTTACCCATTCACTCGTGCCAGCATTGCTGCCGATAAAATATAATACGCCGTTTTCGTCGAAGTCATGCTGAAATAATTTATAAGCTGATATGAACATGATTGTACAAAAATATACCTAATACGAGTCATTATGTTTTAATTTAGCAGAAAAATAGTGAAAGATGGAACAAATAGTTTAAATGCCGAATTCTTCAATTAAGTAGATTTCCATTGATTTTTATTTTAAGTCTAAAATAATTTTATAAACCTACACACAACGCTAGAAATAACGAAAAAAAAAATAAACTAGACAATACTAGAAGAAGAGAAGATGACGAGAAGCACGACACTAAAAGCGACTGTGCCAACTTTGGTAGGCAAAACTTCATACAACCGCGCTATGATAAGTACAGTACTGCAAGCTTGAGGCGCGTGTGTGCGTGAGCACTGGCGGATCGTCACGTAAAGAGAGAAACTGCTTAAAACTGGCTCGGCCAGTACTCAAACTACTCAGGGTGTATACGTCGCGCATCGTGCTCGTTGTCGTTTCAAGTTTGATTTAAAATTAACGAAGGCTTTATGCTATATAGTAAACAAACCGACCAGAGGCAAAGCTTCTTACAACCGTGCTATGACAGGTACAGTACTACAAGCATGAGGCGCTTGTGTGCGTGAGCACTGGCGGCTCGTCACGTACAGAGAGAAACTGCTTAAAACTGGCTCGGCACCAAACGGGTAAAGAATAATTGTCATGTAAAATAGTGTATATGTTTTAATGTACTCTGTGTATAAACAATAATAGAACATATACATTATAAAAGCAAATAAAGTTAATAAATATGTATATGTCGCCGCAAGGATATCTTCTAAGCCTAAACTTTGCATTGTCTTTTAATTTTTTATAAATTATAATTGTTAATATTACAATTTAATAACAGCAATTTATCAAAAACATAACATGTAACTAACTAGTTCTTTAAAAACTCTTTTGGTTTACAAATCTCTTTATTGACAACTAATTCCTGGTAAAACAACTATTTATTCCATTATCAACTTTTAACACAAATATTGTTTTAAATCGTAGAATAAATAATTGTCGATTTGATTATTAATCCTGATAATTGAAATTGCTTAAGTAACCTAATGAATTCAATAAAAAGTTATTGTTTAGTCAAGTATTGACCAATCAAATCGTCGACCAATCAGAGCACACCTAAGTCGTTATTACGTTTTCCTTATTGAATGAATGCGGGAACAGAATCACTTCAGTTCCTGCGCTCGTCAGTGTAGTTCTATTTTCCTGGTAAAACTTTGCAAGTATTATTTGTGAGTCTCATAATAAGAAGTGTAGAATAAAGTTGTAGTGCAAAATTAAAAGTGTGTGGTCTTAGATCTCTTTCATTACAATGGAAACAATATACGGTAGCTCGACTGAACCCTTGTCAAATGGGGACAGTGGTGCTGCCTCACCATAAAAACAACCACGAGGTTTTCCGCTCCAACAATCATGTAGTTGTGTCCTTCACATTGCGCCGGTGTGTAATTGTGACAGGGACACACTGCAGTATGGTCAAACTGTAATTACTCAATGCTGAATGTATAGAGCGTTACGTTGTCCTATTATTGATAACAATAAATTGCGCAAGCAAGAGAGCAAGTTGAATATCAGCTCTCACATTTTTACCATTTTTAATAATTAACGCTATCCTGTTATTTCCAACACAATTTTGGCTTATCGTGTTACACCATTTCCGACATATATATATATATATATATATATATATATATATATATATATATATATATATATAGTATATATATATTATCATATATATATATATATATATATATATATATATATATATATATATATATATAATTTATTGAATTGCTTGAGCAAAACTAACCACTAAAAATAACAAACTATTCAAAAAACAAAAAATATATTTTATCGTGCACCTATGCATAATAAAAATCTGATAAGCGTTTTGTTTATTTAACATTATCATCCTGTGTTAACCCCATTTAAATACGTAAAGAATTTAAACGCTCCTTCAAAGTTTAGCCTCTGATCGGTTTCTTTACTCACGTGGTTATGCTAAATGCATTTGTTTTATAGTTGTTTGCTATATTGTCTGTTCTGTAATGTTTTTATTTTTAATTAAAAAAATTAACTAATTTCACTCACATCATATGTGAACGTGATTGGTGCTTCTGCCTTGATCTTCTGTACGAAGGTGAATGTGGAGCGGTCCATGTCGTACCACTGCCGCGCGACGGACTTTGCAAGAAACCGCTCGAGCTGACGCACGGTTGTTAGCGCTTCGACCTTCAAGCTGCGACCTGCATTGTTACTGTTGCTTGTAGCATTATCCTCCGCAGAGTCCTCGCTCGCACGTTCCACGCGAAGTCTATAAATTTAAATTACTTGTATGAAAAAAGTATTATTTTAAAAAGATCTTAGAAAGATACTAATTAAAAAGTAATGGTATTCCAATGGATGTCCTAAGGCATATTTAAATAATATTTGGGATGTTTTTTATTAGTGAAGAACTGTAATGATAATGACAATTATAGGACGCGAAAATTGAGAGGTTGATTACTTAGTTTAATTTTTTTATTAGTTCTATTAGTTTAATTTTTTTATAAAATACCAGCTGTGTCCGGCAACACAGCAACAACTTTTTCTGCCATCAGAGCAGTGCCACTTAGGAAGGAAGTAAATTATTTGACATATTTAATAGTGGAGAAGTTATTTTTTACAAAAGAGATAAATTTTTCTTTCTGAAATATTATTTCAGTTTCATATTAATTCTTAAAAGTAGAAGAATTAAAAAAAAGTTTAAAATGTGTAAAAAATTTAAGAATCCCTACATCACTGACGCATTTTTTGTTTTGTGTATAAACTAGAAAACAAAATACTTATATTTAAATCGCGTCTTTTCAATGATAACGATGATGATGATAGTGACATACTTGTGTAACAAATAAGTTCATTTTAGTCTCAACTGGCAAGATCTGATGAGCGTAAGATTCATCACCATCATCATCATTATAGTCCTTCACAAGTCCACTGCTGAACATAGGCCTCCCCCAAGGAATGCTACAAAGCACGGTCCTGAGCCACCTGCATCCATCGACTTCCTGCATGTCTTACCAGATCGTCACTCCATCTAGTGGGGGGTCGCCCTACATTACGCCTACCGGTACGAGGCTGCCACTCGAGAACTTTTTTCTCAAAGGTTGTCGCTTCTTCGAGCTATATGGCCGGCCCATTGCCACTTCAGCTTATTAATCCGTTGGGCTATGTCAGTCACTCTGGTTCTACTGCAGATATCCTCATTTCTAAGTTTATCACGCAAAGAAATCCCAAGCATAGCCCTTTCCATAGCTTGCTGAGCGACCTTGAACGTACTCATACGGCCAGCAGTGAAGGACCACGTCTCAGATCCATAAGTCATCACTAGCAACACCCAATGGTTGCGGACGTGCACTTCTGCTGTCAGCGCCAAAATGGCGGAAATCAAATCGCTTCATCATGTCACGGTATATAGCCAGTCCAGCGTACTTGTATATATAGAGGTCAGTGCCTTATTGCAATATCTCTTTTCTGTTCATAAATATTTGCGGACACGTTCACAGCAACTCATCAAAGTTTCATAAACTTCGTATGAAGGTTAAGGGAGCGCATAGCAACGAAAAACAGATAAATTTTTATACCTCATGTCATGTTTCAATACTATTTTCATGTACGAGGGCGGCACTAAAAATTTCGGGAATCAAGGAAGTGACACAACATTACTATTTAAAAATGTATTTATTGCTTTTCGAAGTATTCTCCGCGAAATTTAACACATTTTTCCATATGATGGAACCAATCATTGAAGCAACCATTCCATTCGGAAGTTGGGGTCTCCAAAATGGCCGTTTTGTAGGCGTCCACAGCTTCTTCAGGTGATGAAAATCTCTGTCCAAGCAATTTATTCTTTATTTTAGGGAAAGTATAGAAATCATTAGGGCTTAGGTTGGGGCTGTACGGCGGATGGTTTAATAACTCTATGTTTTCACGCTCTAAAACTCTTTTTGTTCTGTGTGCGGTGTGAGAACTCGCATTGTCGTGATGGAGGATGATGCGGCGGTTGCAGTTCTCCTTACGGAGTTCAGAAACGACCTGTGGCAAACAAATACTAGCATACCATTCTGCATTAACCGTTCTTTGTCCCTCAAGAGTAATAGTCGTAACATGGCCGGTTTTGCAGACAAACGTGGCCTCCATTTTTTTTGCAACACTCCGTGAACGAACAACTTTTGTTGGCTTTAACTCATTTTCAACACCCAAGCTCGTGACTGGTTTTTTGTTTCGGGTTCGTACGCGTATATCCAGGATTCGTCACCTGATACGATGTTGTATACAGCATTTGAGAATCCTGCGTGGAATCTTTCGAGAGTTCTGACGCACCAAGTAACGCGAGCCGCTTTTTGCTCTTCACAGAGTGGCATGCGGTATCCATCGGGAAAACAACTTTTTTACACCTAATTGTTCATGCAAGATTATTTGTATTTGACTCATGCCAATGTCTAAAGTTGCCTAAATTTCGCGGTATGTCACATGTCGATCTTCCTCAATCAGCTTACGCACAGCATCAACGTTTTCTTGGGTGACTGCAGTTTTTGGACGACCTTGACGGGGATCATCACTGAGCTTGACACGTCCACGTTGAAATTCAGCAAACCAGCGATAAATTGTGTTTTGGATGGGGCTTCATCACCAAATGCAGAAATCATCCGGTCAAAACACTGTTTTTGTGTTAAACCACTTCGAAAGTCATAATAAATCATCGCTCTTGAATTTTCTCGAGTCGAATCGAGAAAATTTTAATATGACAGGAACAGTGGAAATATTCCATTCCCGATACTTTTAGTGCAGCCCTCGTAAAGGTTTCCATAGCGATTTGATACAATTCTCATACAATTTGAATTTTTGCGGGGATCTGTTTAATATTTAACGTAAATTTAGTCACATCAGGTCATGACAACGCAAACTTAGTGACCACAAGTGCAGTCCTCGTCGACTATTTCTGTCGCCAAATAGCAGTGAGTGTCAGTAAACCCAATAATTATAGGTTTCCATGGGCTTCAGAAACCACTTACGATCGTGAGAACTGTAATTTCATTGTCATTTCAGTTATAAACGAAAATGTAATGTAGGTATGCGCGTTGTGCGTACGCAGCGGTGTCTTTACGTGTGTATGTGCGTGTGTGTGCGTGCGTAGGTGTGTGTATGCGGGCGCGAATGTGGTACCTGATGCGCTTGGCGAGGTGGTGCAGCGAGCCGGCGGCGGGCACGGGCGCATCGGCGGCGGGCGCGAGCACGGGCAGGCGCTCCACGCTCTCCAGCACGGCCACCCGCCGCGCCGCCCGCCCCGCGCCCGCGCGCCCTTCCGACACCGACAGCCACTCGCGCACGACGCGCTCCCACGCGCCGCCCGCACTGCCCACACCGCCCGCACTACCCGAGCCTTCTGCTCACACAAACGTACGACTCTATCTAATATAGTCTAAAACTATCATTAGCACAACAATCAACAGCACAGAATATGGGATTACCATTACAACCTATCAAAAGTACACTGCTGAACATAGGCCTCCATCATAAGTTGCCCTCATGAGGGTGATATTCGCTATTAGTTGCCACACTTGGCAAGCGAGTTGGCAACGGTAATTCTTATTTTTTATACATCTGTAATCAAAAATATGCTGCTGCCCATCTCCTGGTTCCGTTTCCCTCTTTCGCTTCTTTTCAAGATCATATAGGATAATGGATATTATAACACTGCCATTACACGAGTATAGGATTAGCACTAATGTTAAAAAACAAGACGAAAAGGCAATACGCGTAATTTTTACCAGATTAGTGTTGCCAATTTCTCACATTAGCGAGAAAATATGATTAACATTTAAAAATTCCGAGTGATAGACTATAAAGAAATAATGGTAAAAGGCTTTATGTTACTCACAATCAACTTGAATACAAACCATAATTTCTTATAATCAGAGCATTTTTTTAAATCTAAATAACTTTCAGGATTGAGGAGAAAATACAGCTACTTAAAGAGAGAACATATTATATTACCAAGTATATCATTAATAAATATGTAGATCCTTGTCATTTAAAAATTCATCTACAGAATAGTGATATTTTGTGATGCATTAAATAATGTGATGAAATACCCAGATACTAAGTTTGACAAATTTCCTAGACTTTTAAACAACTCCCTATATGAATAAACAGACGATAATATATAAAATATTTAGCATAGTGCCTATAACTTAGCGTCCATGATAAAAACATTGTAATGGTAAATCCCAATCAAACTGATATATTACGATACACACACAGTAACTATAGTCAACCAAATCTAAGAATTACCTTTTGACGTTTCACATTAATCATTCCGCAATAACTTTGCACAAGCGTACTCATACGATTTACAATAACCTTTTACCTAAATCCAAAGAATTATGAAGTTATCTATATTTAATTACAACGTATTTAGTTTTTTATTACTAATTTAAATTCGAATCTTTCAAACAAAGCAAAATATTAAAAAAAAAATAACCAGTATCAACTTTTTTAATTGACGTCGTTTCAATGATAAGTCGCTATGTGCCTTACCGTAGTGATTGGATGATTATAATGCATTGATATGCGATTAATGAGCAAAAAGATTCAAATATTCGTTAAAAATATTCAAATAATCGAATCATTAATTTTGTAATGTATTATTGTTTAACTAATTTTTTAATTTTAAAATCCTTAAATTACATGAATCATGAATAAAACAAGGTTATTTTTTTTACTTTGTCAACGTAAAGGCCAACGGCGAACTTCCAAATAAATTTTAGTTGACTTTTTTTTCTTGCGTCTTCAAACTCGCACTTTCATTTCGAAACTGTTACTAAACGAAATTTTAACGAAATTGAGATAATGACGTCATCTTACATAAATTAGAAAAATCTACAGAATGAATTTGACAAGTCTATTTACTTCCCAATATTTTGGTAGATGGTGTCAAATTAAAACGTCACTAAACTGAAATTTAAAACATAAATAAAGACGAAACCATTACTATACCAGTTGTCACCTGTCACTTGGTTGGTTGGTTTAAAAAGTACAATTCTAAATTATTTTTTAATTAAATATTGAATTATTATGTTTTAATTGACGTGTGCCTAAAATACTTTTGAAATATATTTTAACAGTTTATATAATAGCCAGAATTCGATTTTTAATATAGTAATACTGCTTTTATACTAACTTTACTTATAATATAATATAATTCAATCCTAATTGAAAAAATAATTAATGCAAGTGTTACTATAAAAATTAAATAGATTATAAAAATTCATCATAAAAAATATTAAATCAAAATGACTACACACCTTAAAAACAAACCAATATTTTAACAAATAATCTCAGAAATATTTCATAATGTCTTCATTACTTTCTTATTAAGAGGTAAACGGTAATGTAAAATCGTAAATAAGCTCTCCTGTAAAATTTAGTTTTGTAACGGTTTCGAAATGAAGGTGCGTAAATGCAAAATATGTAAAAATATACTTTAAAATCCTGAACATTTTTTTCTTCGGTCATACTACTGCAGGAAGTCAGGAATTAAAGATATTCCAGTTTAAAACAAAATACACATCAGACTGGGCTGTATGGTATGAAACGCCTTATTGGCAAATCGTTACAACAACTAGTCAATATAATTGTCATGTATAATATTTATATAGGGTAGTTACTAGCATAAAGGGAATCCTTAAAGAACGGATTAGTATATATAGAAGAGTTTTCTGAATAAAATACACGTCAAACTCGGATGTATATGTTATAAGACCTTTGTCTGTTTTAACTGACGAATCGTAATGACTACAACATCTAATAAAAAAATCATACACAATTCAAAACTTAATTGAGTTTTTAATTGCGTATGATTTTTTATAGCCCATAAGCTTGATTAAATTAAGTAAATTCCATTACCTATTATTTCACAATTGTCCATTGTGTAGGCAAAAAAAGTCATTGACAAGGCCGCGCTGAAAAAAGCACTACGTAATTTCAATCTCCCGCCATTTCGGGAGCTTACTGTGCGTAATTTTGTGATTTTATGTTTGTCTTCTTATTTTGTGACTCGGCTTTAATTTTTTGAACTCTTTCTTCTATATACGTTGAAGCATGTGTCCATGTCAAAAACGATGATTGGGAAAAAGTGGTAGAAAAAACAAAAAAAAATGATTATGGATGACTTTGCGAGACATTAATTTTGACTACATTATTGAAGTTCAAATAATAATTAATCTAAACAACGACAGCTCAAGTAGTTGTACTGAAAGTGATTGAATAAATTTATTTTTAATCTAGTTTCAATATAAAAAATTTATGTGCCTCTAGAAATAAGCAATTACAACAAATACGACGAAACTGATAAATCTTGTGTTTTAAATTATCCGTTTTAAATTTATTCTGGTATTATTCAAACCAAAATATAAATGATTACCAACTCTAAATAATCGATATCGATTTTTTTTAAGAATCGAATATTGTACGTTCCCAGTTTTTGGTTGGCATACTTGGTGCAATAAGTCTGACAGCTGTCAAAATGTATTTCTTAGATTTGGTTGACTATAGCTTCAGTGTTTGTTTGTTATTAATAATTACTAATTATTGAAGAAAATGTATAGCATTTTGCTGCTGTACTTACCGTTCGGTTGGGGCGAAAGAACCTGAAGTAATGCTGGTGCAAGTCCCGAAGACTGTAGCTCATAAGCTGAAAGCAGTTCTTCCCCACATAATAGCTCCGTCAGTTGATTTAACGAGTCCCTCAATTCTTGTTGCCAATCTCCTAAACACATAAATACAATATTTTTATAAAGTGATCGGGCGGCACACTTTTTATAAAATGTATTAATAACCAACGGTTTTTTCTTATAGGATAAAGGTGACAAACGAGCGCACATTCCACCTGATGGTAAGTGATTGTTGCGGCCTATAGACATCTACATCAATCCTCGATCACGAATCAAAATGCAGATGCTTTGTCACCCATGAAGACTAAGATGGAATGCCTCTTTTCCATTAAAAAGGGTATCCGGTTCTCTACACTCACCATACGAAACACAGCAGCGTTGAGCTGCTATTTTACGCTGGTATTCTAATATAGCTCCAGCATGGCACTATCTCGAGGCTCGACAGGTGCCGCACGTACAGCGCGCGCGCTTGTTCGCTCACCTGTACAGTGCGTGCGTGTTTACCTGCGGGCCGTGCGGTGAGGCGTTGCAAGTGCGCGAACTGGGCGCGCAGGCATGAGACAGGCGCGCTCTGCTGCGCTCGACAGGTGCCACACGTACAGCGCGCGCGCATGTTCGCTCACCTGTACAGTGCGTGCGTGTTTACCTGCGGGCCGTGCGGCGAGGCGTTGCAGGTGCGCGAACTGGGCGCGCAGGCGTGAGATGGGCACGCTCTGCTGCGCTCGACAGGTGCCGCACGTACAGCGCGCGCGCATGTTCGCTCACCTGTACAGTGCGTGCGTGTTTACCTGCGGGCCGTGCGGCGAGGCGTTGCAGGTGCGCGAACTGGGCGCGCAGGCGTGAGATGGGCACGCTCTGCTGCGCTCGACAGGTGCCGCACGTACAGCGCGCGCGCATGTTCGCTCACCTGTACAGTGCGTGCATGTTTACCTGCGGGCCGTTCGGCGAGGCGCTGCAGGTGCGCGAACTGGGCGCGCAGGCGTGAGACGGGCGCGCTCTGTTGCGCTCGACAGGTGCCGCACGTACAGCGCGCGCGCATGTTCGCTCACCTGTACAGTGCGTGCATGTTTACCTGCGGGCCGTGCGGCGAGGCGCTGCAGGCGCGCGAGCAGGGCGCGTAGACGTGCGACGGGCGCGCGCGGCTGCCGCGTGGCCGCGCTCGATAGATGTCGCGCGTACAGTGCGCGCGCTCGCTCACTCACCTGTACAATGCGCAACGATAAGTACACAACACACCCACCTCACTTATTCACGAGCCATCTTGCTGTACGTACGCTCTTTACGGTGCAACCGCACAAATCGTCCGATCAGCATTTTTGCCTCTATACTTATTTTTATTGTTCATCGAATCAGTCATCATACTTTTTGCAGTTTCATACTGCACAGGGTTTTTAAGTGCATTTTTATTAAATTTATAATATTGGTAAATATTTATTTTTGTCTTTTTGCATATAAAGCGAGGTTTAGATTAGCAACAAAACTTGCAAAAGTTGACTTCTGCAAGCTATTCCTACCGTGTCACGTCAAGCTCAATTCCGCAAGTTTTGTAACTTGCACAACTTGCCGCAAGTCGCAAGTGTAAACACTATTTTGAAACTTCTGGCAGTAACTTACGGTTTATTTTGCTTGCAAATAAAAGTTAAAAGTTGCTGAGCAAGATTTCAGGAAAAAAGTTTGGATGATACTGTGCGGATAATAGAGAAGTATGAACAACACAGAGAATTATGGGATACGAAATATTTACAATATGTATAGGTTCTTCGCACCTGAGTTCTTTTATTAGATGATTGTGGATACCATAGAATACTATAATCGATACATACATAATAGAACGGGGGAGTGGGCGGAGCCCGTGTAGCCACTAAAATGTCAATAACATGTCAATTCACACGTATAAATGTCAACACAAGATGTGTTTTGACGTTACAATCGTTTCCAAATTTCGCATGCAAGTTATTTAGAAAATGCCAAATTGCACACTATTTACAAATAAATATGTATTAAAATTTAAACGATTTTTTTAATGATGATCTTGAACATTAATCACAAGTCTAAAATTTTTAAATTTACTCGGTCTGTAAACACAACGAATCGGGTTTGTAGTAGTGACGATACGACGTAATTGCTTACATTTGTACTCTCCCGGCGACGCCGAGTCTCGTACAAAATAAGATTGACAGCCGTTCTATTGCGTATTATTGTATTCTATGGTGGATACCAACATTATCTCTTCTTAATATCCAATTATTAACCCACTTTTTATTTTTCCGTTTTTTTATAGGATAGGGTGACAAACGGGCACACAGTCCACCTGATGATAAGTGGTTGCTGTGGCCCATAGACATCTATCTTCGATTACGAATCAAAATGCGGATGCGTTGTCACCCGTGAGGACTAAGATGGAATGCCTAGTGTCCAGTAAAAAGGGTCTCCGCTTCTCTACACTCACCATACGAAATACAGCAGCATTAAGCTACTATTTTACGTTGGTATTCTGTGAGAGCGTGGTTCTACCCCGGTCGAGCTGACATATCCGTGCTATAACTATACTACTAATATAACTGCAGCATGGCTCTACCACATATAAAAGTTTCTTTTTAATACTACTAAATAAGACTACTATAGCAGCAGCACGTATTTTTCTACAGTTTGGCATGATTGATTTCAGCTCTGAATTGGGATCCTCTGAAGTTGCATGCAAAAAATATTGCCCTTACTAGTGTAAACTCTTTTGCAAGTACTTCCACAAGTTATTTTGCAGGCTGCTTGCAGAAGCAAATTGCGATAGTAATATTGCTGGTAGTGTAAACGGTTATGCGAGTACTTGCGCAATAACTTTGCAGAAGTTCTTGCAAATCTAAATCCCGCTTAATTACTTTTTTACATGTTGTGCTGCATGCTTTAAATGGAACAAACACATGTCCCTCTTTTTAGGGTTCCGTAGTCAACTAGGAACCTTTATAGTTTCGCCATATCTGTCTGTCCGTCTGTCCGTCCTCGCTTAATCTCTGTGACCGTTATCAATAGAAAGCTGAAATTTGGTACCAATATGTGTATCAATCACGCCGACAAAGTGGTAAAATAAAAATTGGAAAAAAAATGTTTTATTAGGGTAGCCCCCCTATATGTAAAGTGGGAAGTGATTTTTTTTTTAATTTCAACCCTAACGTGTGATATATTGTTGGAAAGGTATTTAAAAATGAATAGGGGTTTACTAAAATCATTTTTTGATAATGTCAATAATTTGGGAAATAATCGCTCCAAAAGTAAAAAACAATGTGTCCCCCCCTCTAACTTTTGAACCATAAGTTTAGAAAATATTAAAAGTAGAACTTTATAAGGACTTTCTAGGAAAATCATTTTGAACTTGGATGGAAACAACAGTACCCACTACCGGGAGCAGTTGCAGGAGCGCGAACATAATGGATACCCACCTTTAAACTCATAAGTGGGAACACTTATTGTGACGGACGAGAAACTACGGAACCCTATACTGAGCGTGGCCCGACACGCTCTTGGCCGGTTTTTATTTCTTTCACCATATAAACCAACTATGACTACGATTAGCCCACGCATTTGGCACGTGCAGGTGTACTATGAAATAGTGCCGACGTACGTCAGAAGTTCGTATATCTTGAGCGTGCATAGACTTGATGTACAAATATACATTTAAAGAATAGGTATTAAAATCAAAGTAACGTGGTTTTTCACAGCTGGCCATATCAGAAAACTCAAGGTCGGTCATCGAGCTATAGGAAGTGCTAAGTTCGGAGTTTTTCTGCGTAATATACTTATTTATAATAATAATAATAATGTCCTCCACACAGAATTTCGGCCACGGCGGCCTGCCTCAACGGAGACTAGCCATCGGCGCAGGACAGGATTATAGTGCCCAAGTGTATGTGCAAGCACAGGTGCACTCTCTATTCCATCACTCTCATAATCCGATGTGACGGTAAACCGACACGACCGACAGAGAAATCAAGCGCAGGACAACTGCTTTACGTGCTTTCCGACGCACGGAGGTGAGACACCGCCAACTTCCTGACTCCGGGCTGCTACTGAGAATTTCTTGACGGAAAAACTCAATAATTGATATTGTTGGCGCGACCCTGGATTCGAACCCATGTCCTCATGATCAGGAGTCGCACTACTACAACCACTAGACCAACAAGGCAGTCTTCATCCTTTATATATCAAAGAGGTTTATACTTTATATATCAAAGAGGATATCCACTGCAAAATGAGATTAACCAACGTAGCCCAAAGGATCAGTAAGCTGAAGTGGCAACCACCCGATCATATAGAATAATATTTGGCATGTCTCGTCTTGTAAAACCGACAACCAAAAAGAAGTTTCTCAAGTGGCAGGCCTCGTAACAGTAAGCGAAGTGGTGTAGGGCAGCCTCCACTAGATGGAGTGACCCATGACCACGGTGGCCAGTTCACTTATATATTCACCCAGCACACACACACCTTAATTTTATATTTATAGCATTCTGGGTTATTATGTCAGGAAATTCTCAGTAGCAAGCGGCCTGATGTTTTACCCTCATGTCTCAGAAAGCATGTAAAGTCATTAGTCCTGCACCTGACCCCTGTGCAGACGTGCCAGATTTCCATCCCCTCGGACTATGACACACACTCGAGCACTGATTCTATCCTGTGCAAAGTGACAAAATCGGTCTGGAGAACATTGTAAGGGCAATAATGAAGTGGCTAACTAAATTATTTAGATCATTTTATAACAACTCACAAGAAAGGCCTAAAGAGTGCCAGGTTTCAAGTTCAAATACAGACCTGTGTTTTCTGTGCTTCAGTCTTTGCCGAGAACCTAGATCGATTCTGGCTGGTGTTACCATTGTTTGTTGCTACTGGTCTTCTATCCACCCAGCCACTTGCTAATTCTGGTCCTTAAAACAATATAAGGAAAAATCAGAATACAAAACAGAAAACGCTAAAAGAGAAGTAGTAATAAGTGCTTTTAGCAATAATTTACCTAAAAATGTTTCTGCTGTGAAGGTATGTTTTGTTCCTCTATTAGATTCAAATATAAAACCGGGTAAGTCATCCCTTAATATTGTTGTTTGTTGCTGACCATCTGTATTATGGATAAGAAGTTCTTTTTCTCTGAAAATACAAATTAATATCTTAACATATACCTGAAATTTGCATAGTAATGCAGTCTAAGTTATAATAACTTACTTTTTACAAGATAATGTCCAGTTACCAAGGACAAGTTTGGCTGGTCCGGGCTTTGAGAGAATAGGCTGTGGTATTGAATTTTTAACAGATGCCCGAGCTCTCTGTAACTTGTCAATAAATTCACCACGATTCTCTGCAAACGAAAATGCAGTTTTAGATATTTTGTTATTCAAAGTGTGTAACAAACAACTAAATTCATGTCGCTGTTAATCTTTCTGATAGAGAAATTAGTGAATGAGCTGTAGTTACCGTTGCTCTGACATTCTTCATGTCAAGCGTCTAATTATTTTCTGGAAAAAAGTTTACTTTTTTTGTTCTCTTATCAGCTTTTTTCTACTGACTGTATTACGGTTAAGTTACTGACGGCTTTTCAATAATACGCCATCTTAAGAAGAATCATGTCCTGTCATGAACTGAAAACGTTCTAACGCGTCTAATGATATGAAATATCTTATAAAACTACATATTTTTCTTATTACTTATCGCATAATTGAATTTACAAATAAAACCAAGAAAAAAGTAATGTTACTTTGTTTATCATTCCCAATACTTTTGGAGACAGAACGTGTTTTACAATGGCTCAAAGGCCCAGAACTCGTGCCAAAATATATTAAAAACGTGTTAGACTACGAAAAACTTGTTCATTCTTCATGTGATTTATGAATGATCAAAATAACTAATTTCTTTTTTATAACTTATTAATTTATGATTAGATACAATTTTTAACGGTTTTATACTATGGCGTGGAAAGAAAAATAAGTGTACAGACCTTATCTGACAGCTGTTATAACATCAAAATTTTATTTACTTAATAGCATTTTTCCCTGGCCTCTAAATGAAAGGATGATAAGTTATTATAAACAATAATTGCTTTTATACAACAGCAGTTGTAGGTAGACACGACCTGTTAAAGGAATCAAGTGACAGGTCAATCAATGTATGGAAAGTGACCATGATTCTTTGGCCTATACGCATCACATCAAATTTAGGATTATACATTGACTGTCTTGTCTAGTAGTCATAAGTGTGACACGTTAACCTGTTGGATTTGCGCCTGATCTCTCTCCGGTCGTGTCGGATCTCTGTTTCATCAGACTATGAGAGTGAGGAAATAAAGAGTGCACTTATGCTTGCACATAGTCAGGCACTATAATGCTGTCCCGTACAGATAGTCTGTACAGATAGTCTATACCGAATATCGTTCGTGAACAATATTCGGTCGAGAGGACATTATTTATCACACTATTAATGCTGCTTCTCGTCGCCGGTCTATGGAATTTAAGTTCGACTCTTTTTAAGGAATATCTCCAAGTCAGTCAAATAAAAAATTTCAGAAGACAGGAAGGCTTGTGACTATCACTTACCCGTGTTGTCGGTCTGGTGTTCGGGGCTGCCGCTGGAGTACATGGTGGCGAGCTTGCCATCGAGCAGAAAGCGGAACCAGCCGTTGCTGCCGGTGCTGAGCTCGAGTGCGGCCGTGTCGCTCCACACATAGAGCGCGTCGCGACCGCGGCACAGCGACCACTCGCCCCAGCTGTACGCCGCGCCGCTCGCCAGCCACGACGCGTCCTCACCGGCCCCTGCACCCCCACCTCCATCTAACGCGGCAAAACGACAATACTCACTTTTGAATCGTTAGCGCTTTGATTGTCCCCGTCTTTGACACTTCAACCCGTCTCATGCCAGATTTTAGGACATGAGCCGTTTGGAAGAGAGTAGCTCTATGATTGCGCGTATTGTTTAATTTACACACGTCAAAAATCGACCAGAAATATACCGTAATGAAATCTATTGCAATTGACTGAAAATAAACAAGCAAGATTTTTGCTCATTCCATCCTTTATTCCTCTTTGGTTTTGAAACCAATAAACGGTACTTCTAATTTTGTTAATTAAACTAAAATAATACACAATAATAATACTAAATCTTACCAGCGGCGATGACAGTTTCGCCATCCGTAGTGAGTTGGTCCGCAGGAACAGCCGCCAACGCTTCTACTTTACTGAAGACACCAAGTCGCGCAAACTGCTCGAGGTAAATGTCTGCCGCTTTCACCATCAGTTCCTCTGCGATACCTAACACTATCAGGTGGCCGTCGTCATCGTCCTGGATTAAAAGAAGATTTAAAAAGATATTAGAAATAGTTCAGAACCGAGATTTTTCAGCATTTTCTTATTATTTTAAATTTAAATTTGTATTAAGCAAATCTAAAATATTCAACTAAACGAATATTAAGAAAAAATTATAATCACGTCTCAGTGTGAATTTACGTGCCTGCAATATAATTTATTAATATTCTAAATGTCCATATTATTACTTAAGACTAAGGAACAAGATAAACAATGTAAAACAAACTGTTTAGTAATGGAGAGGAAGCACAAAAAGGACAAATCAATGCAGGTAAATTTCGATGGTGTGATGTTTTATATTATTACACATACAAATATTATGCTTAAAAATTAGGCTAGTGAGAGGTAAATGCCTGGCTTTGTGTCATTTTATTACATTTTAGAAGAATTATGGTGTCAGGAACAATGTTATTAGAATTAGGATCTATGAAATTGCCGTTTTCTAGCATGAAATTTGTTTTCCACGCACGGATATCATGTATTCTAATTATTTTTATATTCCAAATTTCTTTTATTCCCTAGTGCTAGCTTTTTGTCTTTTGTTATTTATTTATTAACATTGTATTGTCTTGTTGGATGAGAGAGGTACCCAGTAATACAGGTTTCCAACCTAGTACAACTTTCATAAAATATATCATAGTAAATCAATAAACATTTTCATTTTTACTAGAAATCCTAATTTTATGTTAATGTCATATTGAAGCTTTTAAAGGTTACTTGTTCGAATATTTCAAGCTATTTTTTGGTATCGCCTATTTCATATCAGTGAAAAGTTGGAAACTCGTCTAACTTATAATATCTCTAACATGCGAACGTGTGGCTCTACGCTGAAGTGTGGCTCTATCATGTTAGAAAAATTATATAATGACCTGCTTGACCGGGAAGAACCTACGTAAAACAACAGCATAATGCTACTACATTTTATATATGATCTCACAGAATACCATCGTGCAATAGCAGCTTAATGTGTTTCTTACGGTGTGAGCGTAAAGAACGGAAGACGCTTTTTACTGGAAACGAGGCATTCCATCTGTGTGATGTGGACTGTGTGCTCGGTTGTCAATCTTATTCAATGAAAATAGATGGAAGTATCGAGAACCTTTTTACTGGTAACGAAACATTTTATTTCAGTCCATAATGTGGACAACCTATTAACATTTTTATTCTTAATCCAAGACAGATGAAGATATGATGATAGATAAATAATAACATCACCCACTTACCACAGGTTTACGACTCGCTCGTTTGTCACCATTAAAAAAACAATTACAAAGCGTATAGACGAATAGAACTTTATCAATGGCTATAATATCTATTAACTAATTGGCGTTTGGTAGCAAATAGTACGGAATCACGTTTGTATAAAATGAGCTCGCCGACTCAATCTAAAACCACAGATGTTGAAATTTATATACTTATCAAAAGAAACAAAACTAATAAAATCAATTCAATAAATTCGAAAATAAAGAAAAAATACGCAGGTAGATAAAAAAAGAATGAAAATTGTTCATAAATAAATCTTGATCACTAAGATGAACACACTGAACGATCTTTTCTTTAATGTTTACGTAGACAGAGTAAAAAGCTAATTAGTTCCTTTTCAAAATCAATTATATGTTTGGCTCTTGTACTAAAGTAAGAACCGACGTCTGACGCTGAACTACTAAAAACTACCGTGCTTGATAATTCAATTTAAAAAATTATAAATTATAATTTTTATATAGAACTTGTAAATGAAACGGCAATTTAATAGATGATGGAGGTAATATAATAAATATTAATAGTGCATGTCATTTACAGTTACAAATAACAAACAAAACCTTAAGAGGCGCTATCGGTAACAAAAAATGGACTGTTTATTACGTGCAATGTACTTAAAGTCGGCTCTAGAAAGGGTATTTGTTTTTTTAATAAGAATAATACTTAATTGCCCCATATTTATTAACTTTCATAACTTTTCTTGGATCAAGTTGGCAATTTACACTGTTAAACTGGTAATCTTCTATTCTCCCCAGTACATTAAACTATTTTCCATAAACCTTTGTAACATTGAAATGGGAATATTAAAATGCACTCATAATTGTATTATTTAAAAATAAATAAGGTATAACTTTTAAATTATACTGCTTAATTTATAAACAAAAAATATATATTATTGAACTAGAAGATAATGTGGTAACTATAAAAAAATGGAAGTCTTTTCAAGTGTTTTAAATAAAAGAAGGCATTTTTACACTGAGTACAAAAAATACAGATAATTTGTTTCTCAAAATAAACGTACGTGAACATAATAGTGTAAACCTTCTCCTTCTAAATAAACCCTGCCATCGGGAATAGGTATTTAACACTGGAACTTATTGGTTTGTATCAGAGAATTTTCATTGGTATTATATGTATAAAATCTAGCATACTTTCCTATAACTCTTTTTAAACTTATTTTAACTACCAATCATATATGTATTTGTTTATAGGTATTTAGTATAATAGGCAAAAACCATTAACTTGAGAGCCGTCCTCAAGTGTTTGTGGTAAGTTACATGTAATGATAGCATTCATCACACCATCGGAACGTTACCGGTGGAGCGCGGATATAGCGGCTGCGCAGGTACCGCTGCTGAGGCCGCCGTGGCGCGCCCACCTCGCCCTGACACCGTAGCGTAACAATTCACAAGCCAAATACATAATAATAACAACCACAACAAATAAAGATTCCTCAAGAGCTTTAGCTCAACTCATTTAACCCAAAAACATTTTACAATTAAATCATTTTTAATTGGAATAAAAACTACAGATGGATTCCGTTTAATCCTAATTCTGGGAAGTAAAACATAGTAATAGATTTGCAGGTTTTTTCTTTTTCAATGTATTTGATTTAATTTAAGTTAAACACAATTTCTACTTATGCTTAAGACATAGGTATAATATAAAATAAAACCTTCAACCGGAATTTATAGTAAACGTTGATTTAATTATTTTATTATAAAATTATACCTAAAGGTAAAGTAATTTGATGATTATAATTGTAACTATTACAGACCACTGTGTGTGCAGTGTGTGAGGAGTGTGTGTGCAGTGTGTAAGGAGTGTGGGAGTGTGGCGGTGAGGCACCTGGTTGTCGAGGACATTGGCGACGAGATGCGTGAGCACTGCGGCTGTGCGCGGCACGGGCGAACAGTGTATCATCTTGCGCACCAGTGTGTGTGCAGTGTGTGAGGAGTGTGAGAGTGTGGCAGTCAGGCAACTGGTTGTCGAGGACGTTGGCGACGAGATGCGTGAGCACTGCGGCGGTGCGCGGCACGGGCAAGCAGTGCATCATCCTGCGCACCAGTGTGTGTGCAGTGTGTGAGGAGTGTGGGAGTGTGGCGGTGAGGCACCTGGTTGTCGAGGACATTGGCGACGACATGCGTGAGCACTGCGGCGGTGCGCGGGATGGGCAAGCAGTGCATCATCCTGCGCATCAGTGTGTGTGCAGTATGTGTGCAGTGTGTGTGCCGTGTGTGTGCAGTGTGTGAGGAGTGTGGGAGTGTGGCGGTGAGGCACCTGGTTGTCGAGGACGTTGGCGACGAGATGCGTGAGCACTGCGGCTGTGCGCGGCACGGGCGAACAGTGTATCATCTTGCGCACCAGTGTGTGTGCAGTGTGTGAGGAGTGTGGGAGTGTGGCGGTGAGGCAACTGGTTGTCGAGGACGTTGGCGACGAGATGCGTGAGCACTGCGGCGGTGCGCGGCACGGGCGAGCAGTGTCATCATCTTGCGCACCAGTGTGTGTGCAGTGTGTGAGGAGTGTGGGAGTGTGGCGGTGAAGCACCTGGTTGTCGAGGACATTGGCGACGAGATGCGTGAGCGCTGCGGCGGTGCGCGGCACGGGCGAACAATATATCATCTTGCGCACCAGTGTGTGTGCAGTGTGTGAGGAGTGTGGGAGTGTGGCGGTGAGGCAACTGGTTGTCGAGGACGTTGGCGACGAGATGCGTGAGCACTGCGGCGGTGCGCGGCACGGGCGAGCAGTGCATCATCTTGCGCATCAGTGTGTGCAGTGTGTGAGGAGTGTGAGAGTGTGGCGGTGAGGCAACTGGTTGTCGCGGACGTTGGCGATAAGCTGCGTTAGCACTGCGGCAATGCGCGGCGCGGGCGAGAAGTGCATCATCTTGTGCACCAGTGTGTGTGCAGTGTGTGAGCAGTGTGTGAGGGGTGTGAGAGAGTGGCGGTGAGGCACCTGGTTGTCGAGGTGCGTGAGCAGCGCAGCTTGCCTAGCAGTGCTTTATCTAGCGCACCAGTGTGTGTGCAGTGTGTAAGAGGTGTGGGAGAGTGGCGGTAAGGCACATGGTTGTCGAGGACGTTGGCGACGAGGTGCGTGAGCAGCGCAACGTGTGCGAGCAGTGCTTCATCTAGCGCACCAGTGTGTGTGCAGTGTGTAAGGGGTGTGGGAGAGTGGCGGTAAGGCACATGGTTGTCGAGGACGTTGGCGACGAGGTGCGTGAGCAGCGCAGCGTGTGCGAGCAGTGCTTCATCTAGCGCACCAGTGTGTATGCAGTGTGTAAGGGGTGTGGGAGAGTGGCGGTAAGGCACATGGTTGTCGAGGACGTTGGCGACGAGGTGCGTGAGCAGCGCGGCGTGTGCGAGCAGTGCTTCATCTAGCGCACCAGTGTGTGTGCAGTGTGTAAGGGGTGTGGGAGAGTGGCGGTAAGGCACCTGGTTGTCGAGGACGTTGGCGACGAGGTGCGTGAGCAGCGCGGCGTGTGCGAGCAGTGCTTCATCTAGCGCACCAGTGTGTGTGCAGTGTGTAAGGGGTGTGGGAGAGTGGCGGTAAGGCACCTGGTTGTCGAGGACGTTGGCGACGAGGTTCGTGAGCAGCGCGGCGTGTGCTAGCAGTGCTTCATCTAGCGCAACAGTGTGTGTGCAGTGTGTAAGGGGTGTGGGAGAGTGGCGGTAAGGCACCTGGTTGTCGAGGACGTTGGCGACGAGGTGCGTGAGCAGCGCGGCGGTGCGCGGCGCGGAGAGCGCGCGCAGGCGCGGTGCGGGCGCACAATGCACCATCTTGCGCACGAGCGATAGGCACGCGCGTCGCACTCCCGCGCCGCCTGCGCCCAGGTACCGCGCGCAGAACACCGGCACCAGCCGCCTGCACATACGTATACGGACACCTAACTACACTATCTTATCTCTTATTTACATAACACTCCTTTTCTCGAGTTAGCGTGTAGTGGCGGTATAAGAATATCCATCACTCTATATCATCCCGTGGATGTCAATGTCGTTTTGATAAATTTATGATAATACTCTTTTTCTACTTTCTTTTTAATTCCGTCTGAGTCTGGGTAAATACCTCTCTTATTTTTGCCATCAAATAGCAGTACTGCTGTGTTTTAGTCTGAAGCACTGACCTCTATATATGAACTGGCTATACACCATGACGTAATGAGGCGATTTGATATGCGACATTTTAGCGCTGACAGCAAAAGTGAACGTGTGAACGTGTAAACTCACCTCATTGAATCCCTTTTTTGACACTTACCAAATTCTTAGAGTTGGTGGAAGAGTACAGAGGGCAAACGTCGATAAATAAAGTCACCCTTCACAAATTTGATAATTGACGAGGCTCACTCTAAAACGATGCATGGAGGGCCTCAAATCATGCTCAATTATCTTAGGAGTAGATATTGGATAATTGGCGTTAAAAGTCTCGTGCGTCAATTTATTCGCAGGTTTGTAAGTTGCCTTCACTATTCAGCACAAACAAGCCAGTAGATGATGGGTCAGCTACCATCATCACGAGTTACTGCACACAGACCTTTCCACAAATGTGGAGTGGATTATTATTATGCTGATTTGTGTGCATGACAACAAAAGCCATACACCTCGAGGTGGTCAGCGACATGACTGCACAGAGCTTCTTGGCTGCATTCTGCATTCAAAAGATTTGTCGCTCAAAGAGGCCATGTTTCTGACCTGTGGAGCGATAACGGCACTACCTATATAGGCAGTTCTAAAGAGCTTACAAAATTGTTTTCCGCAGAAAGGTATGTTGTCGTGGCAGAAATACAGGACTGGATGGCCTCAAATTGTACTAAATGGCATTTTATTCCTCCCCACTTTCCAAACTTTGGATGGTTGTGGGAGGCATAGAAGATAGCACCCTTACTTTTGAAGAACTGACTACTACGCTGTCACAAATTGAGGCGTGCCTTAACTCGAAATCCATTTGTTCGGCCTGAAGCGCCATTCGCAGTTTATGCTACGATCGGACGTCAGTCAAGCATTAGCCATGCTTGACTGACCGTGACCGTGACTCTTATTATATTCTGCAATATTATCCCATATTTTGTTTTTAATCTTAACGCTTTTGTTATCACTGTGTGAAGTATTATAAAATACAGGACTTTAACTTACTAATTGAATACAGGATTTTGCACTGTTTCTATTATAATGTCTGTATTTAGCGCTATTTTTCACGCACGGGGCCTGTGTAAACAATTTGCAACTGACCACCGCGCCACCGATAGGCCGCACGCTTGCTAGCCGCTCGCTGGCGACATGGCCGCACGTGTTTGCAGACTCACTTACATTGCAAGCGAACACAACTAGCCGCCACCGCAAGCCGACCGTGCGTAGGAGACGCTTAAAGTTGGTATTTCAAGACGTACGCCAGCACACGTTAGTCGCTAAAGATGTGCCACTTCATATTCGCTCCCAAGATTGCTTAGGGAAACAGTTGGTTTTGTCTTATCGATTATAGGATATTAAAGTTATTATTATAATAAAATTATCTTTTTGTATCACAATAAAACAAGTGTTAAAGAATTATAGCAATAGTTTGAATTTATAGTAAATACACGATATTAGTGGGGTAACATATTCTTTTAACAATCTCAAAATAATATAACTTTAATTTTCTTTAATGCACATAAATTTTTCAATGTACATCATCCACTGACCTCCATATGTACTGCTGGACTGGTTTCATCCAAGAAAACGTTTGTGCCGATTTGAAGCGCCGTCATTGATTGTACCGGGAACTAAATCTGACGTAATTTGCAAATTGACCCTAGTTTTGCTCAAAACATACAAGAAACACGGTGTGTTTGTGTAGTTCGAATATGTATCATGCTAGTAATATAATAAAATTAGTTACCAGAAGTAAAGTGTGGTAACATTTCAAGAGTAAGGGATTTACAGTACTTTAACATTATAGGATCTTAAAAATCTGTGACTTATCTTACTAAATGTAATTACTAACATGTTAGACTTTAAATTACTTATTTCCGACAAACAATAAAATCAATATAACAGGTAATTATCAATTATTTATTAGTTTACAGGTTTTTAACGGACTCTACACAAAAATTGTACTTACATAAACATAAAACTCGTGAATTGGCGACCGAAGCAATTGATTATGACATCAATGATTTGTGGTATGGTATTTTTAATGTAATATAAAGTTTGTACAAAACTCGTTCCATAGTTACAAAGAAAATCGTAGATACACTAACACAGCGTTTGTTTTTGTTCTATATGAGATAAAGCTTATGTTTCAAACATAAGTATTAATTTATATATTTATTTATTGTATAGCATTATATTAAAATGATACATAAATAGAATGGTAGATCTTGTTATAGAATCTTTATGGATATAATATTTTGTCACACTGTCTGCCGTGTAGTGGCGGTTAAGAATATCCACTACCCCATATCTTCCCGTGGGTGTCGTAAAAGGCGACAGAGGGAAACAGGCAGGAGATGGGCAGCAGCATCTTCCTGATAATAGCAACTGTACGACAAAAAAAACTGCGGTTGCCAACCCGCTCGCCAAGCGTGGCAACTATGGCAATATACCCCCCATGAACAATTACACAAATAGACGGCCCCCAGTCCCCGGCGGCCCCGCTATTCCCGGCTACGGTGGCGACCGTTGTAACGGCGGGGCAGGGGGGTGCTAAGAATCTCCGGTGGAGGTTCGGTTGCCACCTACGACGACTCGACCTGGCAACATTTAACGCACGCACACTGAGGACTGACGAGAAGATCCTGGAGCTTGAAGAAGAGATAGACAAGTTGCGCTGGAGTATTATAGGATTATCCGAGGTCCGAAGAGAGGGGGAGGACACGGTGATTCTCGAATCCGGCAACTTGTTCTATCACCGGGAGGGCGACCATCTGTCCCAAGGAGGTGTCGGATTTATCGTCCACAAGTCTCTCGTCAACAACGTTGTAAAGATTGGGAGTGTGTCGACGAGGGTCGCGTACCTGATACTCAGAATCACCAAACGGTATTCGCTGAAGGTCATACAGGTTTACGCACCAACCTCGGCACATTCCGATGAGGAGGTGGAGGAAATGTATGAGGATATTTCCAAAGCCATGCATTCCTCCAAAACCCACTACACGGTGTTGATGGGAGACTTCAACGCAAAACTAGGCACAAAAGAAAACGGTGAGCTGAAGTTAGGGAAATTTGGAGTAGGGCAACGGAACCGAAGGGGCCAGCAGCTGGCCGACTTTATGGAGAAAGAGGGACTCTTTATGATGAACTCTTTCTTCCAGAAGCGGCCCCACAGGAAGTGGACCTGGTCGAGCCCCGAAGGTTCGACAAAAAATGAGATTGACTTCATTATGACGACCAGACGCCAACTGTTCAGTGATGTCTCAGTGATCGCAAGGGTGAAAACTGGCAGCGATCACCGAATGGTTAGAGGCACACTGAACCTAAACGTTAAGTTGGAGAGGTCTCGTCTAATGAAGTCAACGCTCCGTCCCCCTCGTGCTCTAATTCAAAATCCCGAAAACTTTCAGCTCGAGTTACACAACCGCTTTCAGTGCCTACAAGATTGCAATGCAGTGGACGATGTGAATGACAAGCTCGTGGAAACTGTCCATGCGGTCGGAGCTAAGTTCTGCAAGACCCGCCGCAGAAGAACACAAAAACTCTCCGATCACACTCTTAATCTCATGGCTGTTAGACGGGAGATGAGGCTGCAATCGTCAACAGATTTGACAGCATACAGGCAACTGAACAGACAGATCTCCAAATGCATGCGGCGAGACTTACGCAACTTTAATACTGCTCGTATTAAAGAAGCGATCGAGCGGAACCAGGGCTCCAAAATCTTTGCCAGAGATCTGTCTGCCCGTAAGAGCCAACTGTCAAGGCTGAAGACTGAGTGTGGCAGCATCGTTTCCGGGACACCTGAGATTTTGAGTGAGATTGAAGTTCTATGGGCAGCTGTACACATCATCGTTGGAGCCACACGCAAGTGTGAGTAACGATCCAAGAGCAAGTCTTATCCGACACTATTCCGATGATATCCCGAACGTCAGTCTAAGCGAGATTAGAATGGCTCTCCAGCACCTTAAAAACGGCAGGGCCCCAGGCGAGGATGGAATTACAGCGGAGCTTCTGAAAGCGGGTGGAACACCGGTACTTGAAGTCCTTCAGAAGCTCTTCAATTCCGTCCTCCATGGTGGCACTACTCCAGAGGCGTGGAGCAGAAGTGCGGTGGTCTTGTTCTTTAAGAAAGGCGACAACGCTCTCTTGAAGAACTACAGACCGATTTCCCTTCTGAGCCGCGTCTACGTGCTGTTTTCGAGAGTCATTACGAATCGTCTCGCACGCAGACTCGACGACTTCCAGCCTCCCGAACAAGCCGGTTTCCGAAAAGGCTTCAGTACCATAGACCACATACATACCCTGCGGCAGATTGTACAGAAGACTGAAGAGTACAATTTGCCACTTTGCCTGGCGTATGTGGACTATGAGAAAGCCTTTGATTCCGTCGAAATTTGGGCGGTGCTGCAGTCCCTTCAGCGGTGCCAAGTTGACTGTCGGTATATCGAAGTGCTGAAGTGTTTGTACAGTAGGGCTACGATGGCTATCCGAGTACAGAACCAGAGCTCGAAACCTATCCAACTGCAGAGAGGTGTAAGACAGGGTGACGTTATATCCCCGAAACTCTTCACCGCTGCTTTGGAAGACGTTTTCAAGCTACTGGACTGGAAAGGATACGGTATTAACATCAATGGCGAGTACATCACTCACCTTCGATTTGCCGACGATATAGTCCTTATGGCAGAATCGCTGGAGGACTTAAGCACTATGCTCAATGACCTCAATAGTGCCTCCCAACAGATAGGTCTTAAGATGAACATGGACAAAACAAAGATCATGTTTAATGTCCATGTCACACCTATGCCGGTAGTTGTTGGGAGCACTATGCTCGAAGTTGTTGACGAGTACGTTTACCTGGGACAAATAGTCCGACTAGGTAAGTCCAACTTCGACCGAGAGGTCAATCGACGGATTCAACTCGGCTGGGCAGCGTTCGGGAAATTAGGACACATCTTCTCGTCAGGTATACCTCAATCTCTGAAAACTAAAGTGTACAACCAGTGCGTGTTGCCAGTGATGACTTACGGATCAGAGACGTGGTCCTTCACTGCTGGCCGTATAAGGACGCTCAAGGTCGCTCAGCGAGCTATGGAGAGGGCTATGCTCGGAGTTTCTCTGCGTGATAGACTCAGAAATGAGGATATCCGCAGTAAAACCAGAGTGACCGACATAGCCCAACGGATTAGTAAGCTGAAGTGGCAATGGGCCGGCCATATAGCTCGAAGAACCGATAACCGATGGGGAAGAAAGGTTCTCGAGTGGCAGCCTCGTACCGGTAGGCGTAGTGTAGGGCGACCCCCCACTAGATGGAGTGACGACCTGGTAAGATATGCAGGAAGTCGATGGATGCAGGTGGCTCAGGACCATGCTTTGTGGCATTACTTGGGGGAGGCCTATGTTCAGCAGTGGACTTGTGAAGGGCTGTGATGATGATGATGATGATGACACTGTCCTATCTCTATTATTAGTTCCATAGACGCTCACTTCTGGTATCAGCGCCAAAACGGCGAAAATCAAATCGCACAATCGTTATGTCACGCTGTATATCCATTCCAGCGTACTTATATAATGGAGGTGAGTGATCATAATCACTGTATTTAAAAAAAGACGTGTTGCATTTTCATACCAATGAACCATATAAAATTAAATCAAACAATAAACGACACTAACGATAATTTGATTATTTACCTAATTGTAATCCCGCAATATGCGTAATTCGCTTATATAGTTACCACCCACCCTAAGTTACATAATTATTTACAAGTGTCATTTAAAAAAAAGCTTCATAGAGGCAAAATTGTTATCAATATTTAATTTATACTTATTATTTTAGGGATTCACAAAAACTGTCGAAAACTTACTCGAGATAAACTGCTGCCATCTCTTTATCGCCAGTATCTGGAAAGTCATCTTCATTAGAAGAGGCCGGCGAGCTGTGATTACTGACAACAAGCCACTCGCCAGGACACTGCAGAATAGCTGCTACCTCTCTGTGGCCTGCATTTGACCATAAAACATATAAATACATGCTAATAGTTTTTCACTGTATTTAATCTTCTTTAGTATAAATTTTAACCAAAAACATAACAAACAAAGCTATTCCCTATAATGGTACATTGGAAATGGTATATATGTTATGATTTGATATGAAAGGTATGTTAAAATATGAAATGTTTATAGTTTCGAGAGATCATACCTTGATCGTGCCTTTCTCTCGCTTTATCAAGGGGTGTTTTCCCGTCTTCATCACGAAGATCGGCGTTGGCGCCGTAGCGAAGCAACACCTTTGCAATGGCAGGGCGACCAAAGCACGCAGCGTAATGCAACGAAGAACTTCGCTGTCCGCGATTTACGTCCGCTCCTAAAAGAAACAAACACAAAGCAGCGATAATTGATTGAGAGAAAAATCAATTACTTCATTCGTAGTTGAAGTATTAGCAGCAGTTACAAAAACTTTCACATTTGGTTCGCTTACCTTTCTCACACAGAAACTCGACCATTTCGCGTGTGCCGAAAGCAGCCGCCCAGTTTAGCAGCGTCTGTCCAACGTCATCGGTGAAGTTGACGTCAACGGCCCCGCTGGACACCGCCGCTAATAAGGCGTCCGTGTCTTTTCCTCGAATGCAATCGATGAGCTGTCGGTGCGATTTGTCTCCTCGAGTTCCACTACCGGTGCTCGAGCCCTCGCCGCTTGCTCCGCTACTTGACCCCGTAACAGAGTTACAGGTGCGACTTGATCTTAAGAAATAATAAGAAATATTTAACGTAAGTTCAGCGTGGCGGCAGCAGTTCAAAGTCTACTGCGGAACATAGGCCTCCCTCATTGATTGCCTCATAGGGGTGTTTTCCATTGTTGCCACGATTGGTAGGCAGGTTGGTCAATGGAGTTTTTGTTAATTTGTGTGGTTATCAGATAGATACTGCTGCCATCAACGATTGAATAAAGTATGTAAGCACAACCATGTGACTCTGCAATGGATCAAGGGACACAGTGGATCTAGAGGCAACGATGCAGCAGATGAACTGGCCAGAAGGGGATCGGCTCTGGCAACTATAGGGCCAGAACCTATAACACCAATCCTCTTTGGCTATGTTCGTTCACTGGTACATAGAAACTTCAATAATTTACACGCTCAGCTTTGGAAAAATTTTGTAGACTGTAGACAAGCTAGGGAGGCCCTGCCTGAAATAAACAGTCGTCTAACCAAGGTTCTAATGAGACTGAACAAGCCACAGATCAGGATAGTAACAAGTGCTATCACAGGACATGGCTCTTTTAACAAACAACTTAACTTTTTGTTTACCATAGGTGTTACTGACAGCCCCCTGTGCAGAGCATGCATGGGAGAGGAAGAAATGGCGGCTCACGTGTTGCTGACATGTCCAGAAGTCGTTTTATACAGGGCTAAACATCTCGGCACGCCGGGATCGCTCCCCGAAGTTGCTTGCAACATCAAAGGACTGTTGAATTTCTTCGGAGAAATATCATGGCTTGAATAATGACATTATTCCTGCCCACAACCAAAATACGCGCTTAGACGTGGAGTTGCGGAAAACAGCCCGTCGTAAACTAAACTAAACTAGATACTGCTGGCCACCTCCTTCTGTCTTCTGACCCCCTGTCGATCTTACGACATGCAGGAGGCGACATGAGGTAGTGGTCTAACGCCTTACTACACATCATGTAAAAAAATGAAACTGTGTGTAATACACACAATTTCATTTTTGACATTGACAGCAGCAACTTAACCTAATTCACAAAACACAAAGATTTGCTATGAGAGTACGCGAAATAAACAATTAAATACATACGTTTGTATCGCGTGCCTTCCTTCACATAGTAGGACAAGCAGCAAATCCACGAGACGCATACACTCTAGGCACCAACGCTCGTCAGCTTGCACAGCTTTTTCAATCGCAGTACAAAGATCCAAACGAACTAAATCCTAAAAAAATTTACATACACCTACAATCAAGTAAATCAAATGCATGGCAATGAAAGCTTTCAAGAAGTATTCCACAACTACTTACATCTTCCTACCAATAATTAATTTATGTATTGCTATTATTTAAACTATTCATATACCATAGACAACGGGTAGTTCACACGTGATGGTAAGTGGCTAGTCTAGTCTATGGACATGCAGCCAACTTTAAACATAGAAGGCCACAGAAGTGTTGTCACGTCTGAGAACTAAGACAAAATGCCTAACAGCATATAATTATACTGGGTCTCTAGTCCCCTTAGACTGAAACATATTGCAAGCACTACTATTTGGCGGCAGAAATAAGTAAGACATATGGGGCTTTTAAGAGAATAAGAGTGACAAACTAGTACACAGTTCACCAGTTCATGTAAGTGAATGCTGTGGCTTATAGACACCTACATCTATCCTCAATTAGGAATTTAAATGTGGATGCGTTGTCACCTCTCAGCATTAAGATGCAGTAGCGTGTTATCAGTAAAAAGGGTCTCCGGTTCTCTACACTCACTATTTGAAGGAATTAAGCTGCTATTTTATGCTGGTTCTTTCTCGGTCGAGCCGACCCATTCATGCTGCACTCATAATATAGCTGCAGAGTGGCTCTACCACATGTAGACGATGACTGATGACTATAATATGTAAGTTACTGATAGTTATGATACAACTACGACTACATCTGATGCTACAATCATCAAAGTAAAGTTTAATAATTAAAATATTGCCATGTGTTGAATTATTGCATAATATGATCTCGGTTTTAGAGACAGTGTAGACAGTCTAGACCTTTCAGTATAGCTATGAAGTACATTATATATAGTCCACAAAAAATAGGTATCAGCCATAACAGATCATAGATTGCAAAATAAATCATGATAGGAGACATGTCCCAAAGAGACAGATCTCAAATTCCTATAAGATGTACATTACTGAAGCTTCGTTAAAGTTCAAGGTGTCAACAGTGATTATTAATCCACTTGCTAAGCATGGGGATCATGGCGAATCCTCGCTAATATGTGTCTTGAACGATGAACAATTATTAGACACTTTTGAGAATTTAATTTTTAATAACTTCTGCAATTCCCAAGTTGGTCAAGAATTGCACAAAATAATTACGTTCAGTCTAAATCATTTAATTAGAAACCTTAATAGTGACCACAATCTGAGATAAGCTGATTGGCTCACTTACACAAACTCAATAGTTAAAATCTTACATGTGTTATCTGGGCTGAACCACGACAGAGAGTAGATAGAAGACTGACTGTTGTAGAAACAGAAGGCACCAAGCACTTGTCATCACTATTCTCAGTGCTGCCAAGTCTTCTCACCAACTCTTCAATAAGACCTGAGTTAAAAAAAAAGATAATTTTTACAACTATATTATACATTTGGAAACAAATAACTGACATAATGATAAAAATATATCTATTTGAACAAATCATTTACACTGCACTTCACTTACTGGAAGGAGTTTACTCTTGATAACCTTTTTCTTCTCATTTGTTGTCAGTTCTTGAGTTCATAAAGCTATACGGGCTGCCAAATGCAACTTTAGTTTCCATCACAAACACTGTCATTTGAAACTATTAATAGAATAGTAAAAATCCTTTAAAATTAGAAATAATACTTACTGTTAGGAGTATCCACTAACCCATATCTTGGTGTCATCCATGGGTGTAGTAAGAGGCGACAGAGGGAAATGAAACAATAACTGGAAAATAACACCCCCCCCCCCCTCCAAATATGACAAAATGCTTTATGAGACAATGTATGGGGAGGCCTCTTTTCAGCAGTGTACTTTGAAAAGTTGTAATGATGATGATGATGATTATTTACAAAAATACAAAAAAGAAGGGGTTATACAACATGTAACTAAAACCCTGTGGTTCCCGTTAACTACGTTATCAGAATCAGTGTCCAAGCGTACAAAAATATTTTTTTTTTCAAAAAAAAAAATACATTTAAAAAATTTATTTTAATGAAAAATTAAATTAATTTGCAAATTGTATATGGTTTTATGATCTCTGCATTGGCCAAGGAGTAAAAGGATTGTCAAAGACCCCGTATTACGGCGCCTCTACACGTTGGCCAACACAGTGGCGAATGTAGTGGCCAATAGCATTGGCCAACGTGTAGACGGGGTGTTTGGGCTTCATTGGTATGTACTGGAACGATGGCCCGCAAGTTGGCGCGAGATCCGTGTGGTGTCGGTTTTTTACAAAAGATCAAAGGATTGTTGGCAGAGTTTGGTCGCCGCGTCCACACGTTGGCCGCGAGTTTAGTTTGCTACAAGCTCCCAGAGTGATTACACGCATCTGATTAAAATTTTATATTCACGCTTTGTAGGGTGGATGACCCAATTACCAGCCATTTAGTGCCAATTTCAACTTTAAACATTCCTACTACTTTAATTAGCGCGATTTAATTATTTTTAAACATTTGTTTTAATCGATAAGTTATTTATAAAAAAAAATAATGAACATTTATTTACAATCAGATTATTACGAGAACAATTTTAAAATGAAAAAAAAATGAAGCACGACGTTTATACGTGGTAGAACCATGCAGTTATATTAGAAGTATAGTTGTAGGTTGTAGCATGAATGGGTCGGTTCAACCGGGGAAGGACCACGCTCTCACAGAATATCAATGTAAAATAGTAGCTTAATGATGCTGTGTTTCGTATGGTGAGTGTAGAGAACCAGAGACACTTTTTAAAGGAAACGAGGCATTTCATCTTAGTCCTCACTGGTGACAACGCATCTGCATTTTGATTCGTAATCGAGGATAGATGTAGATGTCTGTGGGCCACAGCAACCACTTACCATCAGTTGAACTGTGTGCTCGTTTGTTACCCTATCCTAGATAAAAAAGCGTCGATTTCTTATTATTATTTATTATATTAATTTAATCGTGCAAGTTTTCGAATCATCATCATCATTACAGCTCTTCACAGGTCCACTACTGAACAACCTCCTCCAAAGAATGCCGCAAAGCATGGTCCTGAGCCACTTTCCTTGTCATGAGTTTTTCATTTATGTTCTAAATTATAATTAGTACCTATTATTAAGTCAGTGTTAATTATATTTATTGCTATTGTTTTTGTCTTTCTCAAAAAATAATTAAATTACCAAATAAATTATAAGGTGTTTTTTATATACATCAAATGTCTGATAGAAAAGCAAGTACATGTTTTGCTAAACTTTAAAAACAAAACCCAATTTTAAAACATAGAATAATCGATTATAACTCCTTTAACTTTAAAATAAGTTAAGTTCTAATTAATGGTATTTATTCCAGTTTCTGATGCATGTAAAGAATAAATAAAGCTAATCGTATATTGTATATCTATTTACAGCCCCATTAATATTCACTATTCTTTTATAATTATTTGGACAACACTTGGATTTTCTCCTGTATCGCGGAGGCAACTTACAAACATAAATTGCACAAGGACAAACATCCAGACCCGAAACAATTATTTGTAGGATATACAAATACATGTTCCCATGTGCATGCGGGATTCAAACCCGCGACCCCTGGCACAGCCACTCATTGCCAAGCCACTGCGCCACGGAGCCGTAAAATAAAATAAATTCGTCCGCACATTGGCCCGAACCGAAGTAAACTGAACGACGTTCCAACGTGTGGACGCCGTCACCAACTCTCGGCCAATATATTCGCCACTACATTCGCCACTGTGTTGGCCAACGTGTAGAGGCGACATTAACGAATCTCGTGTGAGCTAGAGGAAATAAAACCACATACAATTTGCAAAGTAATTTTTTTTTTATTTAAATTAATTTTTAATGTGTTTTAAAAAATATTTTGATATGCTTGGACACTGATTCTGATAACGCAGTTAATGGGAATCACAGGGTTTTTGTTACATGTAATAAGGAATTAATTGTAATCAATTTTCCAGATATTTCACAGATCTGTATAACTGAAAAATATTTATCAAATAAAATAAGCTATTAATAAACTTGTCAATATACATTACCATGTTCTGCAAGTGGTGCTGGATCAGCATGTGCACGCGCAAATCTATCAGCAAGAGATGCAAAGCAACGTAGGGCAGCATCTGCAACCCGCGCGTCGCTGTGCCGCAGTAAAGTCGAGAGTGATGATACAGCGTCACCCACACGTTCATCGCCTGGTTCCATTTTTCCGCAAACCCTATATTGGTCATATAACAATAAAGTTATAATTTATGCTGTCAATTCATTTAAACTTGACTTTAATATTATTTTTATTATACTTAGGCAGCTTTTACTGCACATTAACAGTTGAGTCAGGAAGGGACGCCCTAGACGAAGTTTTGTCGACCAAATTGGCGTGTCAGGATCGTGCCAAATGGAACTCTGTACATTACTAAATCTATCTTTACATTTTTTAACATATTATAAGCCAGTGTTTGACTAAAATCACGACGACGGCAGCAAGTTATTCCAATCTATTGCTGTATGGATTACAAAAGATAAAGGGAACTGTTTGCTTCATATGTGTGGAATTTTGACAACCAAGGAAATTAATAAAGTTGCAGAATGCTCAATTGGAATACACTTCTAATTTCTTACAAGATTATTGGTATTTTTTAAAAAACCAAACTTTTTTACAAAACATAAGATGCATATTATGTTCAAGGTCCATGTTTCGTCAAAATACATTCAGTAGGTTTTGCATGATTGAGTAACATCCAAACAAAACCCTAAACATTCATATAAACTTCCACTACTATAATTGTAGGAATTGTTACTTTTTTGAATGTTTAAACAGTTTTACGAATATATTTATTTACCTATCTGAGTACACTACATGATTCAAAGAACATATTACGTAAATCTCAGACATAGAACATAAAAACTAGTAAAAACTAACCTTGAGACAACAGCCATAGCTGAATGTAGAGTGTCTTTGTGCACAGACATCCCATAGTGTGTAATAAAGTGGAGCACAGCTGGCAGACCACCACCTTCCCAAACTGCACCCGCTTCTCGAGTGCATACTAATTCTAGTACCTACAAAACACATTATTTCATTGTAATTAACCCATTCATTGCCACTTAAATTTTATAAACATCACCTGGGTGCCACTTAATATTTTTGTGGATTACAGAAGAAAAGGCGTAATTAAATGTGTTCTTTAATCACAAAAAATCCCATAAATAACAAAAACCCATCTAAAAATGGTAAACGCACCATACATGGTGGTGGCACTGGTAAGAGAAATTTAATCACTAGTGCCATTCAACATGCCGTTTGCGTTGACGTTTGGATAGTATTATGTAACATGTTCTGAGAGACTGATGCTGGATATGTCAATATATTATTTATATAATCTATGTTTGTTTATAAATAGGTGTAAGTCCTTGTTTTACACACATAATATTACTTTGTTCTGTCCTAAGTTTTTGTATCTTACGTACTACTTAGTAACTTGAAGCATGCGGTGTATACCTATTGTTGGTGTACTTAATTAAATAAATAATTTAGTATCAGAATTATTTCACATCTTTGCTCCTTATCTGATTAATGTATACCTATCCACTTTGTATATTGTTACATTTACGGCACCCAATAAAAACCTCTCTGGATGACCTTTGAGTGGGTTGATTATTTTAATATACATAGGTTCGTAAACAACAAAAGTGAGAGAAACCCATGAAGATAATCATTTATTTTTAAAAATAAAAAAAATTACAATTAATAGTTGTGGTACCCTTTGAAACAATTATATTTTAATAATTAAAATCTATCATATAAATCTTCACATAAATAATAATTATCTTTAAGCAAATAGTTTATATTTTTCACGTACCTACTTTTTAAACATAAAATAAAAAAATATACCTATGGATTTTCTCTAGTTTTCTACCTATGACCTATGGCCTTGGATACTATAAATGCTACTGCGGAAGTAATACAAATAAGTTTCTCTCTGTGGATTCATAATTTAAACCTTATAAAATACGTAAAATGTGACGGCCAGTTTATAAAATATTTAGTAATTAAATACATTACGAATAGTAAATTTAACTTTATGAGTGTAAAAAATATAAAAAAATACGAGACACGCATAAATGAAGTGATTTGTTCCTTGTGCATCATGAATAAAACTATCCAATAAAGTTTTTTACTGCTATGCCAACGAACGAACCGTATGCGTGCATGTGACTTTATTTTTCAAAAACACGATGAAACAAGGGAAAAGAAAGAAAAAAATTAAGAATACTGATTACTTTTATCTCATAATTTACTAATATATAATGAACACTCGTTAAAACTCAAGTTATTTTAAATTCAAAATGTACGTTATTAGTACCAATCTTTTTTTCATTGTCAAAACAAGAATGACAATACGAAGCAAAAACCATCGGTGTTTCCACATTTAAAAATTATTTCTAATAGTTAATGTTGCCATAGATTAAAATAAATTTCTACCGTTTTTATTTAATGCAAAAAAACCTCAAGAAGTCACTTAACATTTACGGTGCGTTGGTGGCATGACGTAGTAATCTCGATCAACGCAAATGGTGCGTTGGTGGCAATGAATGGGTTAAGGAAGCTTTTAATATTCTCAGCATTTTATTTTAAGATCTAGTTGCTTTTTTATAAATCTATATGTAAGAGTGAGAAATTTATAAACAGTGAAAAACATGTACTGTATAAAGATACTTACCTTAATACACTGCTCAGCAAGATCTTTACTTGTTCGGTTATTAGGATCCACTGTCAGTAATCTGCTGCAAATAGCCTTAATAGCACCTTCTATTGCTACAATTCGTCTAGTACATTCAGCTGCAATTATGAATGTGTTTTCATTATTGATAAATAAGGCATTAACAAAAAATGTAAAATACGTAAAATGGGACTCACCTGAAACATCTAGATAATATGTAATAGCCCTGGCTGTCACTTCCAAAACATTATCTGGTGCACATTCATCCAGAAATATTTTACAAAGTGCTGGTAGGAATGTACGGGGAGGACAGCTGGAACATATTTAAAAAAATAGTAATGAAACTGTCAATCATTAACTAATTCCATGCTAAATTTAGAAAGTCAATTACCATTAACAACAAATTATCACATATCCACCAGTGCTTTTACTATATAATATAACAAGACAAACTCTCTCGCCTATAGTTGGGAGAAACTATTAAAAGCTTCCATTTGCCGCAATTGTGACATACTTCTTTCACATCCATATCTCTACACATACATGCTTCAGTTACAAGGGTACTTTTATTTGGCCTATCTCTGCATAGTACTAGCTATGCCCACGACTTTGTTCGCAATGGAACTTGTACTTCTGTTATGATATGTGATGAATGCCCACTGTATAGAGTAGGGAATGTCATAGCGGTGACGTCCAACAGTTGGCATATTGCATTTTTATACTCGTGACAACTTTAAAATTAAATGTCTGAGCGGAAGCATTTACCTTTCAAAACATCTGTCCACATTGTCTGACATGAGCAGGAGCATACAAAGTTGTTCTAATGCAATAAGTTGCATATCCCGCTCATCACCCTGCCCCGTTAGCAACCATTCCAACAATGTTTCAGGGTCTACTTCTGCCATCTAAAACATATAATAAATAATAACATGAACGCCATCCAAAACATATAATAAATTTAAACATAAAAAGGACATTCCGAATCTTTAAAAGATATGACAAGACATAGTAGTTTGTTTACCTTTATTCCAGTTCAGATGTAAAATCCCCCTGAAACATACAAATCTGTATTATCTTTTTATATTATAAGTAAATTTTGGTAAATCGTAATAATGTACTGGAATTATGAAAGTTTTCAAATATGATGATATGATTTTTCAAACTTTTAAAAATTAATAACTAACTAATAAATTTAGCATTAAAAGTCATAGGGACCTTTTTCATTTGTATTTTGTCAAACAATATAAAAAATCCCCCCCCCCCCCCCCCCATTAAAATGTAACAATTCCTTGTAATAGAAAAAATATTATGCAACATGAATTTATATCACTGCTTTATGAATGAATGAATGATTTTTTTTATTCAATATAGGTTGCACTTGATACATATTGAAAGTCCATTTATTTACCACTGGTTCGGCATAAAACCTCTTGTTCTGGGAAGAACCAGCAAGAAACTCAGCGGGACTTTTTTTAATCATATTTCACTTTACAATAATTTAGTTTGTACAATTTTTAAATGAATTTTTATAGTACCAGCATGGTGGTGATCACCTGATTCCCAGGGTTCATTTTCGTTTATATATTCTTTGATATTATAATAACCCTTTAGTACAATTTTTCTTCAATAAAATATTTAAACTTGTTTAATAACAAATTTTGTACATTTTCTGGAATTTTGTTGTAAAAGTGTATACATTGCCACATAAATGAATAACTAATTCTGTGAAGTCTAGTAACAGGTGTTACAAGCTTATGTTTGTTCCTAGTGTTTTCATCTTTATTCTTATGAAAGCTACTTGTTTTTATATACATACACTACATTTTCATAAATATATTGCAATGCCAAATTTAATATGTTTATTTCTTGATTTTTTCTCTAAAGGACTATTTACAATTTAAGTTATAAATCAACCATACAGTCCTTTTTTGCAACTTCAATGTAAGTTGCATTACCCCATATCAAAATTGCATAAGACATTATGCTATGAAATTAACTAAAATAAACTAATCTAGTTGTCTCAACATTGGTACAGCATATGCTGCAGAACTAAGTCAGCCTACTAATTTAGATATATGGGGGACCCATTGAAGCTTCGTGTCAATAGTAATACCAAGAAAAACAGCAGTATCCACGAGACTCAACTCCTCCCCTAGTAGGTCCTCCACGGTAGGACAATATGAAAGAGAATTCCATAAAACAATCGAGGTAAAATAGTTTTCAGTTCTCATGCTCGGGTTCCTCCTAAACTATGTGTATATGCTGTAACTATTAGACTGCATGATAAATAAGATAAAAATTGTAAGAGAAGAACATATTATATGAGTTTTTTCGAAATACTAAATTAATGTAGCAAATAGGGGCTAGGAAAACGAAAGTACATTATGTATAAAGGCGTAAAAGTCAGTTTGTCATCCTGTAGTGAAAAAAATTAAGGTATCAGTTCTTTCGACAATAGTATAATTACACGGTTTTTCATATGATCAGGTAAATAAAAATGTAATGTAAACACTGAAGATACAATAAACACAAAATACATAAGTATAACACTAATATGTATGGGGTTATACAACTCTGTCCCTTATCCATTTATGTTATGTTAGTCAAACCATAATCAAGTCCAAATTCATAGTCAAATATATGATGATAGCAGTTTGCAACTCTACTTGAAGCACATGTAGCAATATAACATGACTATGCAGAGATATTACTCTATGCCTAATGCAAGGCACTTTCTCTTACAGTCCTAAGCATGTTTAATATGAAATAAATTTTACTCACAATTTGTGTGTTTTCAATTTTTAATGATTACAATTACTAATTATTAAATAACTCATTAAAAATATTTTAAATCTTGATTCAATAAATTATGGCATATTGATGGATTGATGTGATGAATATAAATATTGCATTGCTTCACTATTATTTGACTATTATTAACTTCAATGCAATAACATGATTCTTTAAAAAATACCATAGTACACAACCTCTAAACAAAACAATAAAGATAAGTTGTTTGTAACAACGATATTTCATATTTTTTTATCTTACAGGGCGGTTTACAAACCAACTACACTTGTAATAACTAAAAATGAAACAAAGGAAGTCATCAAATAACAGGTGCAATTTTACATTATAGTAAAATAAAAATGTAGGTTACATTTGTAAATGTACCTTTCTCTTTTGTGACACTAACTTATGAATTATAAATAATGTTGTTAAAATCCAGCGCTGAAATATGCTCAAGCTTGTACATTAACGTAATTTCGGTTGTAATTTTCGGAAGAATAATGTTTTGAAAACACAAATATAATATAAGATAAAAATGAAGGTGACAACAATGTCTTCGCCAACTTACAATCAATTAACCATAACGCTAATATCATTAAAACCACTTTTGATAGGATCACTGTATTACAATTACTAAGAAATACAACACCCAAAGTAAAAACAGATCATTGGTGCATGCAGGCTTATTATAGGTGCACAATTTCTTCATATCATATCAATACAAGCAATCCAAATCAAATCAAAGTCAAAGCAAAAAGCAATGATCAGATACAAAGAGTATGGAATCACTACGTTTGGCCCTACATATTTATTTATCTATGGTTTGGCAAAGCATTTATGAACCAAAGAGTATACTAACTATTCTATACATCTCATCTATTTCTATATATTCGATGCATTAATTCTTTCAAACATCGATATATCGTTCATGAACATGGTTCTTCGTGAGCAATGTTTTATGAACAATGTTTTGGCTTGCCGTTAAAGGTTACGCAATAACCAACTATTTGAATGTATAAAATTCCATATGTTAAGAGTTACGAACGATGATTATCACGAATTTAAATCACCGAAAAATAAATATTCGAAAAAAAAAATATGTAAAAGTTAGATTACGTCTAAATTTTTAAAGTTTTACTTACTAAAATTTTACTTACAAATCAACAAACAGGCGAATGGTCTTTTGACCGAAAATAAGTATACTCGAATTTCAGAAGTGCAATTGTCTTCGATCGGTAATTTCATTTTCTATGTAAAATTGTGGTTAATTTTTATTGTTATAATGAATTAACATAAGTTTAAAAATATTGAAAATGGATTGGAATTGTTTTATTCATTTTTTTATTAATAATTATATTGTTTAAGCTTTAACCTAATAATTAGCTTAAGTATAGTCTTATAAGGTAATAATTATTTTGTAATGGAAATTATTTTATCGGCTAACGGTATTCAATCACTTTTCTGAAATATTGATTTTGATCGATGAACTGTTATTCAGCTGTTTGTATTTCGGTATAGTTTAGTATATGTATTCAGAAAATGTGATAATACTGAAGGTGACATATGGAACTACCATAAAGAAGTAACGCACCACAACATAAGAAATAAAACTAAACCAGAAGAAGTGGTTCATATATTACATGCGCTAGAGATGTGGGATGGCATGAATGGCATGGCATGATTTTTTAATGAGTGATGTTGCATCCTATAGATGTGTTACTCAGAAAAATTACGATTCAAGTTAACTCGAGTAGAAATGTATACAACTTGAACTAAACTCGAGTTACGCAACTAGAGTTAGCAGAACGAAACACAGTAAATGATTTCTTACAATTACGTTTTCTAAATTTGTTTTTCTATCTAACTCTGGTGGGTTGGATCAACTAACATTACTAAACTTAGTAGGTAGGATTGAAATAAAAAGGTATATTTAGTATGTATCATACACATATGGAGAAAAACTAACCCACCTACGCTTCGTTGACGATATTATATTATTCACCACAACATAAGATCAACTGAAAAACATGCTCGTAGACCTGGGAAGAAAAAGTCACACGGTAGGTTTAACAATGAACGCTTCTAAAACTAAAGCCATGACAAATGTACACGAAGTCGCTATCATCATAAATGGCGAGCTGATTGAGTATGTGAAAGAGTTCACATATATAGGACAACAAATCTCATCATCATCATCATCATTACAGCCCTTTACAAGTCCACTGCTGAACATAGGCCTCCCCCAAGTAATGCCACAAAGCACGGTCCTGAGCCACCTGCATCCATCGACTTCCTGCATATCTTACCAGGTCGTCACTCCATCTAGTAGGTAGCCGCCCTACACTCCGCCTACCGGTACGAGGCTGCCACTCGAGAACCTTTCTTCCCCATCGGTTATCGGTTCTTCGAGCTATATGGCCGGCCCATTGCCACTTCAGCTTACTAATCCGTTGGGCTATGTCGGCCACTCTGGTTTTACTGCGGATATCCTCATTTCTGAGTCTATCACACAGTGAAACTCGGAGCATAGCCCTCTCCATAGCTCGCTGAGCGACCTTGAGCGTCCTCATACGGCCAGCGGTGAAGGACCACGTCTCAGATCCGTAAGTCATCGCTGGCAACACGCACTGGTTGTACACTCTAGTTTTTAGAGATTGAGGTATTACCTGACGAGAGATATAAACCCACCTGAAGTTGGACTTACCTAGTCGGACTATTTGTCCCAGGTAAACGTACTCGTCAACAACTTCGAGCATAGTGCTCCCCACAACTACCGGCATAGGTGTGACATGGACATTAAACATGATCTTTGTTTTGTCCATGTTCATTTTAAGGTACAATTGAGGTCATTGAGCATAGTGCTAAGGTCCTCCAGCGATTCTGCCATAAGGACTATATCGTCGGCAAATCGAAGGTGAGTGATGTACTCGCCATTGATGTTAATACCGTATCCTTTCCAGTCCAGTAGCTTGAAAACGTCTTCCAACGCAGCGGTGAAGAGTTTCGGGGATATAACGTCACCCTGTCTTACACCTCTCTGCAGTTGGATAGGTTTCGTACTCTGGTTCTGTACTCGGATAGCCATCGTAGCCCTACTGTACAAACACTTCAGCAC